CCCTCCGCCTTTCAACCAGCACCACATGTGATTATCGGCCAGGCTGGCACAATTAACTAACTCACTCCCCTCCCCCATTTTTGTCTTGACGTTCCAGTAAGGCTCGCCTATCACTCTGGTAGGACTACCAGTTGGTTTGGGGTGACCTTAGGACAATGTTGTATGGCAGTAACTTAAAAAAAAAAAAAAAAAGGTCTTCTCTTTCTCCCCACAGCTTGAGAACTGACTCTAGCTGAGATGAGCTCTCTTCTGTCAGTTATTTCTAAGATGGACACATAGAGGGGGGGTGTATATAAGGTCCATGAATGCCAGGCAGGCCCAAACTTGTTGCTTGGGAGACCAGAGTAGAAGAATATATGATTTGAGGAGAAGCCAACTTTCATCTTACTGTTTACCCATATAGTAGTGGACTCACACAATATTTGTCCTTCTGTGATTGACTAACTCCACTCAGCATAATGGTTTCCTGGTCCATTTAGGTTTCATCACTGCTTTTTTAGGGGTGCGTAGTATTCCGTTTCGTATATGTACCAGTGTTTCTTTATTCTTCTATTGATGAGCATTTTGAGCTGGTTCGAGCTTCTTGCTATGATGAGCTGTGCCGCAGTCAACGTGGGAGAGCAGACGTCTGATCGTGTTCTGTCTCATTTCTTTGGGGTATATGCCTAGCAAAGGTCTTGTGGGGTTGTAGTATTTCTATTCCCATTAGAGCGTGGTCCTGTGAAGAGTCACACATGGATAGTGTAGATTTCGTAACCCACCGCTAGAGCCACTAGATCCTCAATTCCTTCCCCTCCTAGACATACTGTGACCACTCGTCTAAGAGTTGCAGGTTCTACTTCTGTAGTTCAGTGATCCAGCCTTACTGTCTACTGTGCTCCCAGTCCTTTTAGGTGCCACCCCATGGTTTCCACAATGGTTATATATTTACAATTCCAATCTCTCTGCCCACGCTCCGGCATTTGTGTTTGCGGATTTTGTTTTTAATTGGCTATCATTGATGGGGTAAGTTGATATCTCATCATCGTTTTGATTTCTCTTTCCTGGGAGACTAGTGATCATGAGCATTTGTCAGCTATTCGAATGTTGTCCTTTGAAGATTTATAGATTCCCTATTCCTTCCCCTCCTATCCACACTGTGAACACTTGGCTAACATTTGCAAGCCCCACTTCAGTAGTACAATGGATTCAGCCTTATTGTCTTGTCTGCTTCTTAGGTATCCGTTTCAGAGACAGACTTCTGTCAGCTTATTCCTGAACTCAACTTACCAACTGTCCCCAGGTCCTCTTGGAAGAATGCTCTGTTTTAGTTTTGACTGTGCTTAAAGTTCTTCCTACATCCACACTGGTACTTACCGCTGACCTTCCCCACAACCAGTGTTGATGTCCTTCCGGGTATCATCCTCCACGGGTGGAATCCCAGGGAAGGCTGCATTAATTTGACCTCCTACAAGCTCTCTCAGGAGATGATGTTTGTCTCTGTCCCAAGGGTGAAGATGGAGGACAAGTTCTACTCAGTGATCTTCCCAGACGTGCGGAATTTCCGCCCCTTCACTGCTGACTCTCTCGATGCCATTAATAAGCGGATTGCCATCCAGAAGCAGAAAAAGAAATCTGAAGATAAGACAGCCATAGAACCGAATCCTCGACCTCAGCTTGACCTCAAGGCCTCCAGGAAGTTGCCCAAACTATATGGTGACGTCCCCAGGGAGCTCATAGCAAAGCCCCTGGAAGACTTGGACCCCTTCTACAGAAATCATAAGGTATTCCCGTGGGAGGCTGGGGTGCTTTGACCATCTCATGGTGGCTAATGTTACAAGGTTCTCTAAATGTCAATCCCTACTTCTTCTTTGCTAGAACACCCTCTTGGCCTTCACAGACCCGAGAACCCTTTTCAGCCACCATTTTCTCTCTCTCTGTAATGCACAACTGCTGGAAACAGCAGGTCCTGCTCCTTATCAGAGACACAATTCCCTGTCGGGGAGAAGTGTAGAAGGCAACAGAGGAAACACAGAGGGGTTCTGGAAACAGACCTGGGCTGAAAGAAGTTGGACCGTGGACTGTTTTAAGGAATTGGCTTTACAACTTTGGGGAAGTCATTAATTTCCACTTCCCTGAATCTGTACAAAGAGAATAAAGCCTGTCTGGCCTACAGCATAAACCCACTATGGAAAGTACCTTATAAACTTTAAAAGCCGCATCCTAGTATCCAGGATACACACCCAACTATGATCATTTCCACAAAACTTTCACCTTGCGAAACTCCTGGACCATAGCTTGTCTAGGCTACCAAAGGACAGAATGAAGGCTAATATTCTAGAATCCTCCTGGTCTTCCTCATGCTGTGATGCTTTCATACAGTTCCTCATGCGGTGGTGACCCGCCCCCCCCCAACCATAACATTATTTTCATTGTGACTTCATGACTGTCATTTTGCTACTGTTATGAATCGGACAACCCCTGTGAAAGGGTCACAAGGGGTCGCAACCTACAGGTTGAGAACTGCTGTCCTAGACCAACCTTGACATAGAGTAAGAGCTCAATAAGCAACTTCTAATAAAATGGTAATCAGATGAGCACATGCAATTTATATCTGAATTTCCCACGGGGTTCGCCATTTTAACAACCTGAGTGTAGCTGTTTAGTGGGTATCATAGTAAAAGCCTAGAGCTTAGCAGGTGGTCCCCAGCAGACCATCCCTTCTCAGGAGAACTCGCGGTCGCTGGCTCACGGTGGCTTCCCAGTAGGAATGGGAAATTCAGCTCTCTAGACCGAGGTCCAGGAAGAATGGGGGCTGGGAGACTTGGGGAGGTGTCGTAGGAAGCAGGACACGCTAAGAGCAATTTTTGTGGCACCCATGAAAGCTGATCTTCTCAGAGACAGGCGGTCTGGTTTTCAAGCCTTTCAATTGGCATAGAATTCACCTGCCAATCCAAATGGGGCCCCGTGTCTAGAGGAATGTGGGAATAGGTGAGAGGGACGAGCAAAGGCAAAAGAGAGGATCGAATGAAAATACTCCAGTGTTTCGCCTCCTTTCTTCTCTGCACGCTCCAGATTCCCAGAGGCTTCTGGGAGGTGCAGTTGTTGGGGTGAGGGAGTGCTGGAGGCCGCCCTCTCCCTCACAGCTGGTTAGGACAGCACAAGTCAGGGAGCAACTGGGGTGCTGCTGATAGTGTTACAGGACAGGCTATGCTCTCAGCGTGGCTCGAGGCTCTGAGAGCATCTTCCCTGAGATGGAGGCTTCCCTTGACGGCAGAAGCAGTACTGGCTTCCACATCCATCATCTCATAAGGCTGGCCCTCTCAGCACTCATGTGGGCTGGGTGTGGTTGTCCCTAGCCGTCCACTTCACAGATGAGGACGTTGACGCGGAGGTAGAGAGAGCGGCTTATGCCGGTCAGCGGTAGGGTTGGGCCTCAAACCAATGGACTCCTTCTACAGTCACAGGTCCCTCCTCTTTAGGAGCTGCTGTTTTAGAGAATGCTACTGGGGGCATGGACGTGTATCAGCAAGCAGGCAGAATGAGCTGTGCTACCTATCATTTTAATCATAAAAGGCCTGGCAAGGGAAGTTCAAGGCACCATTAGTTAAAATATTTAAAGCAGCCAGCAGAAGCATTAGGGAAATATCAAAATCAAAGGGCATGGAAGCAGAAGCAGATCACACCACGTGCTAATCTGGAGTCATTTGCTTATTCTCTGCCTTAAAACGGTTTCTTTCCAAAGGAGGGTCTTCGCTCCCCAGGCTCATGGCTTTTCAAGAAGCCTGTGGTCCATTCCATTATGCCTGGGGGGTGGGGGCAAAGAAACATTCCAGTCCACACTGGTCCCTTCAGCCATTTGGCCCCCAGACAGTCCAGGAACTCACGCATGGAAGGCTGATGGTTGGCAGTGGCTGAGAGTCTGTCTGGTGCCTCTGTCAAGTCAGTGTCTCTGGGTGCTAAGGTCTGTTGTTATTTTTATGCGAGGGCACGCTGGATTCAGAGGTAAGTGACTTTCTTTGCAAATATGAAAGGGGCAGTGAGAGGGAGCTCTCAGGGCTTATGTCAGAAGCTTGTGAGTAAGAGAGGGGCATGTTTCTTCCTCAGAGCCCCGGAAGACAAGCTGCAGGAAATGAGACAGGGTCAGGGCTCCTCAGTGGACACAGCCGGGCCCTTGGGATGAGACAGTGCATCCTTTTGCAGGTTTTCCCTGCTGTTTCACATCCCTGGATCTACCCGCTAAAGACCAATAGAGTCGCCGGTCATTTTGTCGTGTGAAAAAACCCACAAATGTTTGCACATCCTTTCAGTAGGGGCCATGTCCTATCCCCTGCTGCATGGGAATCAGGAGGCAGAGTTGCCTCTCAGTTCCTAGCAAGAGTGGTGATACTGGAGGGTGGAGGGAAGGTGGGGGAGGAAGGGGGAACTGATTATAAGGATCTACATCTAACCTCCTCCCTGGGGGATGGACAACAGAAAAGTGGGTGACGGGAGGGAGACATTGGACAGTGTAAGATATGACAAAATAATAATAATTTATAAAGTATCAAGGGTTCAAGAGGGAGAAGGGAGCTGGGAGGGAGGGGAAAAATGAGGAGCTGATACCAAGGGCTCAAGTAGAAAGAAATTGTTTTGAGAATGATGAGGTCAACAAATGTACAAATGTGCTTGCCATACAATGTATGTATGGATTGTGATAAGAGTTGTATGAGCCCCTAATAAAATGATTAAAAATAAAAAAAGAACAGGATAGCAAGTCTGAGGACCTTGGTGGGGTCTTTCTTAAAGAGCCTCAGGTTAGAATTGAACAGCAGACTCTGTCTAGGGGACACTGTTCAGACCTGAGGTGTAACAAGACCCATTTTGTAAGTTCTGACCCTGCTAATATCCATTTCAAAGGTCTCACCGGTCATAACATCAAGGTAAACTAATGTAAAACCCGCTCAAGGTCAACTTTCAACCCGCCCGCTCTTCAAGTTCTCCTCTCGTCCTTGTCCCCAGAGATCACAGATGCAAACCGCGGAGGACACGGAGCCACATTACGGGTTTGCTTGGCTCTGATAATTACTCTACAGCCCCGCTCTCCTGCATTTTCAAGGTTCCTTACACTCCACCACTGGGGCCTCTGGTGAAGAATCCACACTCCAGTACTTATCGTGGGTGGCCTCCGGAGCAGCAGTGTAGGTTGGTCAGAGAGTACATCAGAGCAGGGCTCTCTAAGAAGCAGCTGGAGTTAGCATCAGCCAGACCACACTTCAGGCCACAGGGCACTGTGTTGTCTCTAAACACACTCCCGGTAAATATGGTTTTGTCCATGCGTGTCATTCTCTTCTTCTTTTCCCCCCAGACGTTTATGGTGTTGAACAAAAAGAAGACCATCTACCGCTTCAGTGCCAAGCGTGCCTTGTTCATTTTTGGACCGTTCAACTCAATCAGAGGTTTAGCCATTAGAGTCTCGGTCCACTCATATCCTTTTACTGCGTGGAGACCACAGGAAGCGCACACAAACCGCGGGGTGGAGACAGGAGAGGCTAAGGGCTTGGTTAGAGGGTTGGGCCATGCAGGCTCACAGGGGCTCCTGGAGGAGAAGGGATCTGCAGAGCTAGGGATGAGCCTGAGCTCTCCCAGTGGCAGAGCAGCAGAGGACAAAGAGACGAAGTGCAGGGCAGTGAGACACCCTCTGCTACAGGGGTGGGGTGACCGTAGCTCTCCGGCTGAGCACATCACAAGGCAATGGTGCGGGGCGGCTCTGAGTGACACAGAATCTGAGACCCTTCTTAGGGAGCAGTCAGGGCTGCCCTGAGACAGAAGTTGGCAGTTAAAGGAGTTGCCTGATTAGCGTGGCAGATGGGGAGTCACCTATGTATTTTAGGGCCTTGGCATCATGTTGCAAAATCGAATTTACTTCTTCTGGTTTGCTTTTATAGCAAAGTCTGCACCATCAAGAAACCCATGGGTCTAATTGTATGAGAAAAGCATCAGCCTCTCTCTCTCTCTCTTTCCTTCTCTCTCCCTTGGATCTGAACACCCTTCCCCTCCCCCACCCTTGGACCCAGTTATAAGACTCCAATCATCGATCAGGGAAATGTCATGGTCCAAATGAGAGTGTCACCACCAAGCTGGTGCATCAAAATAGCTTATTGTACAGATTTGAGTAAGGAATGAAACTGGCTCCAACAGGATTTGATTTGGAGTTTCGGGCCATCCTTGTCATGACCCCAGCCCGGGCTGCTGTGTCCAGGGTCAACGCTGAGCGTTCTCATTCCCACGTGCTCCAAGAGCCTCCTGCCTTTACTCCTGGTTCTTCTCTCCTCACTCCGCCTTCCAATAGCTCACTTCCCCACCAGAGTGGAGACTGGGTGAGGATGGAGGATGAGCCACGGGCACCCCCGGGCTGTCTTCCTCCAGCCCTGGGCCTTTCTAGGACTGTGTGCACACAGGACTTGGTGAATGTATGAGTGAATGAATGGATGGCTCGTCTGCTCCCTGCCCATTCCTTCTCTAGACCTTTCCTCTCTCTCCCCTTACACGCCAGGACGACAGAGCGGTTGAGCGTTCTCCAATTCAGTGATCTCACTCACCTCTGCGCCATTCTTCCTGCGTTTCCCAAAGTGGGCAATACTACCTCCTGGGGGGCGCAGGCATGATCCAGGGGGTCTGCAAAATCAGATACCTGCACTTCATCCTGAACAATGGGCTAGATTACAGATGCTTTTAACAGGTATCGGGGCCCTAAGTAATTTTTTCCCCCCTGAAAAAGGGCAGTAGGCCACATATATTTGGGAATTCTTATGGCTTAGAATGCTCCCTGCCACTCTACCTCTGCCTGTCTTCTTGGGACGGAACCCATTATTCATCTTTCCCTGCACCCCCTTGAATCTCTCTGGATTATGGTCTCTGTGCCTGGCCCACCTCTGTACCTCTGCAGTTGCCATGAGGAGTGGATGGGGATGCTAACCGAAAGGTGAGCAGTTTGAAACCACTAGCTGTTCTGTGGGAGAGAGTGGAGGCTTTCTACTGTAAAGTTACAGTCTCAGAAGAAACACCCAGGGGCAGTTCACTGGGAGCCAGAATTGCCTTCACAGCAGGGGGGTTGTCTTCTCCACCACCTGCTGCTATCCCTGAAGTGAGGTTGAACTCTTACCAAAAAGGAGGCTAATGGGTGTCATCCTAAAAGAATAGCTCATTCCCCCCACCCCCAAGCCAATATCCATTGTGTGTCAGAATACTGTTTCATGGCAGGTGCTCCGCTGGGCCCTGGACATAGAAGTGCGGGTGATTAAGGCACGGCTCCTGCTCTGATAGCCTGTGGCTTCAAGGGGAGACAGATCCAGAGGTAGGCAGTTTTGTTGCCGAGACTGACTGGGTGTCGGAGGCATCCCGTGTAGCCTCCTGGGGATAGAAACCATTGCCTTTGTGTCCATTCTAACTCACGATGACCCTATGTGTGTCCACATGGAAGCGTGCTCCAGAGATGGCAATGGGTGACTTTGTAGAGAGTAGATGGACAGGCCTTTCATTTGAGGTGCCTCTGGGGGTTCTGAATGGCAGGGTAGGCCTGAATAGCCAGCCTTTTGGTTCAGAGTCAAGCATGGTAGATTGTTTGCACCATCCACAGACTCTTCTTGGAGGAAAGGGTGTCAAAGGGTGACAACCAAGGTTGTCAACTGGTAGCCAGTGAGCCATCTCCTCCAGCTGGTTAGGTGTTATGTTAGAGAGGGTTCTCTAGAGAAACAAAACCAGAATGCTAATAATTATATATATATTCATAGATAGATATAGATATATAACATAAGGAATAAACAGTTAATCTATAAAGCAGTACAAATGGCTCAGTGCAACTCACTCCCGTGCGATAGCTGTAAGACACTGGCAGTCCTTCTAGTCTTGAGGGCCGCCGGGTAGTCCTCTCTACGGCAATTCAAGCTATCCGGCCACAGGCAGCAAACAGCAAGGCAGGTCACCAACAGTCAGCTAGATGACAGGGTCTGATAGTTCCCAGCTCAAGAGATGTACATTCCAGCAGTGTGGTGAAGCAGGTCTTGAAGGAACCTCAAACTATAGCGACACAGTCCACGGGTTGGGTGTCCCACAGGTAGTGTAGCTCGCAAGCTGAGGCAGAGAACAAGCTAAGGCAGCCACACACTGGTCCGATGATCAAAGAGCAAGAGACAAGAAAGGCGAGGCTCACCAAGCCATTGATCTCTCTGCCCTTCAATGAATCCCACACGTGTTCATTGGCCATGTTGGCACAATTAACATTAACTATCTCAGGTGTATTGGGTTGGACCTACACAGTACTAAAATCTTTTCCCACTGCTGGGAGTCCTTCTTTCAGTTTTTCTTGGAAAAGGGAAAAATGGAACCTCTGTCGTCCTGGACGGCAGACATGGGTGTAGTGGGAAACCACTGCCTCCTTCCATGGACGCATGCAAGCTCTCCCTCATCACCTCCTTCCCACCCCACAGATAAAAGCCAGTCTAGTTCACACCTGGATGTGACTCATCGGACTCTTGCAACAAAGACATTTGACTTTGCGATTTCGGTCTTCGAGGATGAAGAGAAGCAGACCTTACTAAGCATCTCTGAGGTGTACAAGAGGTTGGAAGGGGGAGTCTAGGCCGTGGAGGTTAAAAAAGATACCCATTGGCAGAGAGGTGGGGACCTTGAGGAGCATGATCATGCAAAGCTACGGGTTGGGTTCCCAGATGCCGACACGGAGGTTTTTGGTACACGGGTTGTTAAGCTGTAGTAGGGAACGGCCCTTTGAGGAAGCAAAGAGAGGGAAGGAGGGACAAAGGGAGGTGACATGCCCAGATGGAATATCAGGGGGAGTATGTTGTAGCCTGACTCCACAGGGAACTCTGGAGCAGGGGGGTCTATCACAGGGTTGTCCCACCTTGGCACGGAGCCTGCTGTGTGGCAGTCTAAGGCAGTCAGGTACGAGGAAGGGAGTGTGCAGCCGTGTAGGTGAGATGGTTCCGATTTTGGTGAGGACATTTATTTAGAGAAGGAAGAGCGAGCTGCTCCCAGGCAGCACTTCTGTGAGCGAATGAGGTACCTGTGGGGAATGGGATCCCCGTGGCCTCCATGACCAACGACACCTGCCACGGTGAAGGGTATCTGCCTTAACGATGCTGGTCACGCTGTTTAGCATGTTCATCATCTGCACGGTCATCATCAACTGTGTGTTTATGGCCATCGCCCCTGGGAAAGACACCAGTAGTACATACGCTGAGTAAGTTTTTCTTCACTCACCTGCCCTCCATTTTCAAATAAGTGTATCTGAAGAATTATGGTGACATTGGAAAGTTTAGATATCGAAAGACGTTACCAACATCCAAGGCGGGCATGTTCAGTTTGATTTTTGTACAGTTGCCTTGAATGGCCTCTTAGAATGATATTTGTTTTAATAGCACATGTCCTATGCTATGTCTAGCTTTTACATGGTTATATGGGCTTTAGAGGAATTTTTTTGCTTATACGGGCTTCACTTAATACTTTCTTAAGGGAATAAACCATAATATACTTAATGATTCTAGTATTTTACTACTAAAAAGTAGCATTGCAATAGGCCTTGTTTTGCATAGACTAGTTTTTAAAAGTATTATTAGCAGTGAGTCTTAAGAACTGGGTTTACTAGGTCAAAAATGTTTGCGAGGTAAACATTTCAATGCATTAAAAGTATATTGACAAATTATTTTTCAAAAGATTTGTACCAATTTACTCTGCCATCAGCAGGGTCTTCTAACAGCCAGTCATACCACATTCTTGTCAACAGTATGTTTTTTTCTTCACAAACTCACTGGGTTAGAATATTTGCATTTCTTTAATTTCTAATGGAGTTGGACAGTTTTTGATATTAATCATTTGTTAATTATGCTTGCACATCTTTGTCTAGTTATCAGCCTCAGTGTTTTTCTTTCCTGATCTGTTGGTGTGAATTCTTTGTATAATTAAAATACAAACTGTTAGTCTGTTATTTTCTGCCTGGCTTTTAAGATGTGCATGTTAATTTTTTAAGCTCACAGTGTTCCACATTTTGTTAAATAGTCTCTGATGTGGTCATGATTTTTCTATTTCAGTATATTTATGGCTTTAATGTTTCAGGAATCTATTGAATAATAAGTTGAATACATAATAAGAGGCCATCTATTGAGGTTGATACAACTCCTTTATTTTTTTATCATTTTATTAGGGCCTCATATAACTCTTATAACAATCCATACATACATCAATTGTGTAAAGCACATTTGTACATTCATTGCCCTCATCATTCTCAAAACATTTGCTCTCCACTTAAACCCCTGGCATCAGCTCCTCATTTTTCCCCTCCCTCCCCGCTCCCGCCTCCCTCATGAACCCTTGATAATTTATAAATTGTTATTTTGTCATATCTTGCCCTGTCCGACGTTTCCCTTCACCCACTTTTCTGTTGTCCATCCCCCAGGGAAGAGGTTATATGTAGATCCTTGTGAGCAGTTCCCCGTTTCCAACCCACCCTCCCAGGAATATGACTCCTTTATAAGACCCCTCAAAAGCATTGAAATGCAATCATGCTACTCTGAGGACCTGGTGCACCTGACCTAGGCCATGTATTCTCAGCCACCTCATCTGCATGTGAAAGTGGGGCATTGACTCAGGAAGGCCAAAGAAGAGCCATGTAAAGAATATGGGAAGTGCCATGCAGTGCAAAAGAGCAAGCACCTCTGTCTTGGAAGAAGTCCAGCCAGACTGCTTGTTAGCAGCATGGATGGTGACACTTTGTCTCACGTCCTTTGGACATGATAGGGGAGACCAGTCCCTGCGAAAAAGGCATCGTTCTTAGTAAGCTAGAGGGGCAGAGAAAACGAGGAAGGCCCTCAACAAGATGGATTGACCCAGGGGCTGCAGCAATGGACTCCAGCCAGTGGTAGGATCTGGCAAGTGTACACCGGTTCACCAGCACCAATACCTAGTTTTTGGTTGAGTTCAGTGAACTGGTTGCTAAACCGCACTTGCAATCAGGGTTCTCTAAGATTTCCAATGTGAAAATCACACGTGTACATTCCTTACTCTTTCTAACATTCATCTGTTCAGCAGCGTATTCTTAGTGCCCATAGTAATGTTCATTCTATCCATAGGTATAACAAAATTAGTTAATAAGTATTTATTTATTCATTTCATAAAACTCATTATACTTTTGATGAAATACTACACTTTTATTCTCGTTGTTTGTTACTTCAATAAACAAACAACATAAATAGGAAAAGTCCCAAAACAAGTAGAGGGTGACACCCTGCCATTTGTTTCAGCTTTGTAGCATGCCCCAAATTCCCACGAAATATTATGAGTGAATCAGGCAATTCCTGAAAGTGGTCAAAGAGCTAAAAATGTTGTCAGAACAATTACTGACTGTAAGTTCTGCAGAAGTGGAAATGGCTTTTTTGAAGATGAGCATATGTTCAGAGACGAGAAGTTGCCTGTTTCTACTATATCAAACCCAGGACTATTTAATTGGCCTCCCTAAAGAATGGGTTCCTACTCATACAGTGGAAAGATGGTTGAGGATAAATTATAGATCTGATGCTGCTCGCATAAAAGCAAAGGCTTGAAGGTAAACAAGCGGCCATCTAGCTCAGAAGCAACGTGGAAGAAGCACGCCAGCCTGTGTGATCACGAGCTGTTGAGGAGTGAGGTATCAGGCATCAAAGAACAAAAAATTGTATCGTTGTGAATGAGAGGGAGTGCGGGGTGGGGAGCCAAAGCCCATCTGTAGGCAACTGGACATCCCCTTAGGGAAGGGTTGTGGGGAGGAGACAAGCCAGCCAGGGTGCAGTGTAGCAACGATGAAACATACAACTTTCCTCTAGTTCCTAAATGCTTCCTCCCCCCACCTCCCCTACTATCATGAGCCCAATTCTACCTTACAAACCTGCTAGACCAGAGGATGTACACTGGTACAGATAGGAACTGGAAACACAAGGAATCCAGGATAGATGATCCTTTCAGGATCAGTGGTGAGAGTTGTGATACCGGGAAGGTGGGGTGGAAAGGGGGAACCGATTACAGAGATCTACATATAACCTCCTCCCTGAGGGACAGACAACAGAAAAGTAGGTGAACGGAGGCGTTGGACAGTGTAAGACATGACAAAATAATAATAATTTATGAATTATCAAGGGCTCATGGGAGAGGGGGGAAATGAGGAGCTGATACCAAGGGCTCAAGTAGAAAGAAAATGATGAGGGCAACAAATGTACAAATGTGCTTGACACATGGATGTATGTATGGATTGTGATAAGAGTTACATGAGCCCCCAATAAAGTGATTTTTTTAAAAAGCAAAGAATATTTCAAGTGAGGATGGCAATCAAGAAGCACTCTGGAAATACATTGAATGACAGTTTTAGTGTGCTTTTTTTGTCAAGTATTATTTAATATTTTTCATGAATATTATAAAACTTTCTTGTAACATAATAATCTACTTTGGGGTACCTCTTTTATTATTTTTTATTTAAGTCTTAACTGCATGAAGTCATTAACTACCTTTTGGTGTTTCATTTTTTTATGCTTAAAGTGGTCATTAGGGCGGCGGTTATTAAATTAACTTAGCCGGTTCTATCAGATAATTAACTGGCTGTGAAGTTACTGGAATCCTACTGCTAGCTCACATAGAAGGACTATGGGGAGGGCGGCACGGTGCCACTCTGCTCTACCGGCCGGCTCTACGACACCTCAGGGCAACATGGCAGAGAGCATCACATTCAACATCTTGAACCTCTCAGGATGTTTCTTTGTGCCTTTTGGGAGACAACCTTTTAATGATTATTTAAGACATGTCCTTATGCTGTATTCTAGTAATTTTACAGCTTATTTTAAAAATTGAGATCTGTGCTCGATTTGGTGTTCAAACCAAGTGCAGGCTGTGATAAACAGATGCAACCATTTGTTTCCCCCCCCATGACTTTCCCTTGGGTCACACACTGTTGCACCACTGATTTCAGGAGCTACCCCGTTACTTAGGTTCCTGACTTCTCTTTTGTCCCATCGGTGTGTATTTCCACACACTAGAAATGCTCTCTATCAAAGTGGTCTAATGAGATAATATTCAGGAGTGCTAGAAATCCCCCATTGTTCTTCGTTAGGAGAATTTTTGTGATACTTGTTTTCCCATATTAACTTTATAGTCAGCGCAGTGAAAACATGGATAGAATAAGAGATAATTGATTTGTTTCTTATTTTGGAACTCATAAAGAACATGGCATTTTTTTCCATGGCTTAAAATTTTCTTTCACATCTCTCAGAATTGCTTCAAAATTTTCTTTATATTTCTCATGGAATTATGCCTGTGGATTTTACCTTTTTTACTTTCTATTATAAATGTGGTCTTGTCTTCCAGTATATATTTATCTGATTACTGCTACATAAACCTTAAACTAATTACTGCTATGTAAAAATTATTGATAGCACTACTGTGGAGTTTCTGATAAAATTTAGTGTCATCATTTATTTTCTCTCCCTTGAGTAGTTGGATAACTTACTATTTTTTCCATAAGCATGAAAATGAGACATTCCTTGAAAATTAAAAGAGAAAGAGAGGGTGGGGGAAAGAATGGAGGGGTGAGAGCAAGAGAGAGAGAGGGAGAGAGAGAGAGAATTACTCAGTAAATCATTTATACCTGCAGTCTTTTTCCCCTTTATTTGTGAATTAGGTAAAGGTTTACAGAGCACATCATGGTTTATATTCAACAGCTCAACCACATTCTGTTTCAGTCCATTCCTCTCCATCCCTCAATGTACTCTGTGGTTCCTGTTTTCATTCATCCGTCTTTCCTAACCCTGTGAACTTCATCCTTGGGTAAATGCTGCCCTTCGGGTCTGAAATGATTGATTATTCTAATGTAGAGATGAATTCTATTCCAGATCTGAAGGGTAAGGGCCGTAATCCCAGACACTGCTCCTCTATCCGTCTCTCGGCGGGTCCGCCCATATGCAGATATGCCTGAGTACCCGGCATGAAGACTGTGACCCTTGCTGCATGCATCAAGAGAAAATCTCATTTGTCATTAGAAATAAATATTTCACAGCATATAATTGCACATTGTTTTTGTAATGCATCACTGTGCTTTAATTATGTTCAATTTATAACAATGAAAATACATCCTGCATATCAGATATTTACCTTATGATTCATAACAGTAGCAAAACGACAGTTATGAAGTAGCAACAAAAATAATTTTATGGTGGGGGTCACCACAACATGAGGAACTGTATGAAAGGGTCTCAGCATGAGGAAGGTTGAGAACCGCTGCTCTAGCCAATCATTCAACTTGGTCTCTTTTACAGTGTTGCATTCTGTTCCACATTTTTCTTCCACTCTATCCAGCATCTTGGAATCAGATCCTTTACGAAGCAGTTGATAGTGGTTGCCGGGCACTATCTAGTTCTTCTGCCTCGGGGTTATAGAGATTTTTGTTTGTGTGGTCCATATGTCCGCTGGACTTACTGTTTCCACCTGTCGTTTGATTTTCACCGTTCTGCTTTTCTTTAGGTGATGAGAGACCAATACTTGCACCTTACGTGGCTGTACATGAACTTTATGACCCCATAATATGCTACACTCTCAAGTGTCACAGAATATTGTCTTTGTGAATGATGTTAAGCTAATTGACCAAGATTACTGCCCTGTTCTCCCAGGCCCAGTGATTCATTCCCTCAAGGAGTTTGGTTATGTCTGAGAAGTTTTCACAACTTTGTCCCCACTATGTTCCACTACATTTATGGATATCTTTGTAACAAATATCGCTGTCAAATCTGCCTGTGTTGTGGGCATACACCTCCTCTCTCTCTCTCAGGCCTGTATGTCTATCCAAGCATCTACTTGTGGATCCTCACTGTTGCTGGATTGTGTATAGAACAGTATTTATTTCTGTTGCCTGTAATTCTTGCAAGCCTTCCAGTGTCTCCTCTCCTGTCTCCATATATTTTCCGAACCTTCCTCCTATCGTGCATTTCCTTCCCCTTCACTCAAGTTTACACACGTCTATTCTATAGCCTATGATTTTACTTTCGTCTTAGGTAGAATGATAGATATATAGACTAATGGAACAGAATTGAGAACCCCTGTAGAACTGTCTGTAGAACTGACTACAGACAGTTGATCTTTAAAAAAATTTTAATCATGGTTAATTATCTTTATCTTAACAGAATTTGTGCATAATTCTACCATTTAAAATTACTTTTTAATTTTTCTGCCCCCCCAACAGTTTTATTAGCACATTATTCACCTATCATACAATTCAATAGTTTACTCACATCAAGAAGAGTTGTATAATCATCACCACAACCAGTTTGAGAACATTTTCTTCATTCTTGTACTTGTTATTAGCTACCCTTTCCCACTACCTCCCCTGCCATCCATCCCTACAAGGGTCCTAAGCCAGTTCTGTCTCTATGGATTTATCTTACACTGGGTTTCATCAATTCTCTAAGGTTTGATTAATGTATTTCCAGGCTCAGTCATTGGGTACATACATATTTATCATATCTTGATCAATTGAGCCATTCATCATTGTGTAATGCCCTTCTTTGTCTCTTACATTGGACTTTACCTTAAAGTCTGTTTTTGTTTCTTCAGAAATTACTTTTATTGACATTTTATTCAAGGGATTTTTAAATTAAATTTAAAAAATTTCAACTACCCACTAGTTTTTAAGGAGGGTGTTCTTGTGTTTCTGTTTATTTATTTTCTTGTTCTTTCTGGTACCCTACCTATGTTTGAAGTGACACAGACATGCGTCCTGTTGGGCATTTTCATTAAGCTTCCAATCTCATTCCATGATGTTGGGCATGTTCTACTCCATATCGGATGTCAGCTTGGCCTAACTAGTCCCACCAGGGTCCGAGTTTCACATGGAATAGAGAGACTAGTGTGGGCTGGGTATGGGAGGCTCAGCACTCAGGCAGAAGTGATAACCTGTCTCATTTGCTTGAGATCTAGAGAAAGACTTGCAAAATCCCACAAATTCTAAATTAGACCTGTTTTCTTCTTCTTCTTCTTCTTCTTCTTCTTCTTCTTCTTCTTCTTCTTCTTCTTCTTCTTCTTCTTCTTCTCCTCCTCCTCCTCCTCCTCCTCCTCCTCCTCCTCCTCCTCCTCCTCCTCCTCCTCCTCCTTCAATGTACCAATAGCATTTTAAGGAAGCTCTGGTGGTCTAACGGGTGACAAGTTGGGCTGTTAACCATAAGGTCTATGCTTCAAACCCACCACTTGCTCCATGGGAGAAAGATGAGGCTTTCTGCTCCTGTGAAGATTTCCATCCTCAGAAACTCACGGGACAATTCCTCTCTGTTCTATATGGTTGATATGAATCAAAAGCACTTGATGTCAGTGGGTTTATAGTTTTATAAATATATCTGGGTTTAAACGCTGATATTTCCTTGCAGACATTAGTTAATCTGATGTGTTTCCATTTGTCACCAAAAAGGTGATCAGTGCAGAAGATAGAAGCAGATAGGGGCCCCTGCTTGTGGCGGTTTCATGACCTTACCTGCTCTTGAACTTGAATCCTATGGGTTTTTCTCCACGTTTCTAAGACCTTGGCTTAATTTTGAGGCCTAGTAATGGCTAGATAGACTACCCATAGATGTACACTTCTTTTACTCTGAATCAACAGGCTGTTTGCTTGCATTATTTCTCTCCCCCCGAGTGGAGGGGTGTGTGTGCAGACTTAACATTCGACATAGACAGGTGTTATATTTTTAAAAATTATTATTTTTAAGTTTCTTTCAGGTGTTGTTATTGTTATTTGTGGTTGTTGTTTTTAGCTGGGGGAGGGGAAAATAAATAAATTCAGTACAGGACAGGACATGATGTAGGGCTCAGAAGACGACGGGAAAGACCCACTTTGTTGTTGTTGTTTACTTTCTTCATTTCCCCTTTTTTTCTTTCTTTTTTTTTTTTAGGATTTATGTATTATCACTCTATTTATTTATTTTTAAATCATTTTATTGGGGGCTTGTATAACTCTTATGACAATCCATACATACATCCATTGTGTCAAGCACATTTGTATATCGGTTGCCATCGTCATTTTCAAAGCATTTTCTTTCTACTTGAGTCCTTGCTATCAGCTCCTCATTTTTGACCTCCCTCCCTCATCAACCCTTGGTAATTTATAAATTATTATTATTTTTTCATGTCTTGCACTGTCATGTCTCCCCCCACCCCCTTGTCTGCTGTCTATCCCCTGGGAGGGTGTTGTAGTTAGGTCATTGTGATCGGTTTCCCCTTTCTCCCCCCACCTGCCCCCTTACTTTCTGTGCAGCAGAGTGTGAGTTCTAGAATGCTGGTGATCATCTCCAACTCCACCCTAGGATGCCCCTCGTTAGCTGAAATAAGTCTCAAGAATATAATGATAAATTTAGGCATTGAAAAGGAGCCTCACCATTCTGTGATGCTCATCTTTCCAACAAGGTCACTGAAGACAAAGTGGGTGCATAAGCAAATGTGATGAAGAAAGCTGATGGTGCCTGGCTATCAAAAGATATAGCATCTGCAGCCATCTAGCTGAGAAGCAACAAAGTCCACATGGAAGAAGCACCACAGCCTGTGCAGTCATGAGGTGTCAATGGGATCAGGTATCAGGCATCAAAGACCCAGACCAAAAAATCATATCTATGTGAATTAGGGGGAGTGTGGAGTGGAGACCCAAAGCCCATCTGTAGACAATTGGACATCCCCCTACAGAAGGGTCACAAGGAAGAGATGACCCAGTCAGGGTGGAGTATAGCACCGATGAAACATACAACTTTACTCTAGTTCTTTAATGCTTCCTCCTCCCCTCCCCCACTATCATGACCCCAATTCTACCTTACACCTTACAAATCCAGCTAGATCTGAGCATGTACACTGGTACAGATAAGAGCTCGAAACACAGGGAATCCAGGACAGATAAAACCCTCAGGACCAATAATGAGAGTAGCCATTCCAGGAGGGAAAGGGGAAGGTGGGGGGAGAAAGGGCGAATGAATCACAATGATCTACATATAACCCCCTCCCAGGGTGATGGACAACAGAAAAGTGGGTGAAGGGAGACATCAGTCAGTGTAAGACAAGAAAAAATAATACTAATTTATAAATTCTCAAGGGTTCATGAGGGAGGGAGGGGAAAATGAGCTGATACCAAGGACTAAAGTAGAAAGAAAATGTTTTGAAAATGATGATGGCAAATATGTACAAATGTGCTTGACACAATGGATGCATGTATGGATTGTGATAAGAGTTGTATGAGCCCCCAATAAAATGATTAAAAAAGAAAGAAAAGAGGAGCCGATACCAAGGGCTCAATAGAAAGTGACTGTCTAGAAAGAATGACGGCAGCATCTGTACAAATACGCCTGATACAATTGATGTATGGATTGCTATAAGCGTTGTAAGAACCCTCAGTAAAATGATTTTAAAAGAAAGAAAGAAAAGGAGCCTCGCCGCTTTGCCCATAGGACTATTCTTCCACAATTCTAAAGACCGGGACTTGTGAGAGGAGCCTGCCTGTCTGAGTGCTCGTTGACTGGTTACCAGAATATTCGATACCACATTCAAATGGAAGAAGATATCATCCAGGTCAGAAAAGACAGACGGCTCGTTGTTTGACTCATCACTCACCAACCTCTCTCTTGTTCTGAATGATGTGCTTTTAGGTATGTCTTCACGGGGATCTATATTTTTGAAGCTTTGATCAAAATATTGGCAAGAGGCTTTGTTCTGGACGAGTTTTCTTTCCTTCGAGATCCCTGGAACTGGCTGGACTCCATTGTCATCGCAACTGCGTAAGGACATTGAAGCTATTGATTGGGGAGACTCTGGATGGGGGGGCCCTTTTGCTTACCCACAGCTGTGCTGAAGCATGGCCTCAGGATGCCTGTAGCTTTGAGTGTAGCACTCGGTGGCGAGTCCTGAACAGCACCTTGCAGCCAGGTGGCCTGAAAGCTTCATGCACAAATCCATTCCTAGACCAACCTTTTCCTTCTCATTCTCCCAGCCATTCCCTCTCTGAATGCTGTCCTGTTGCAAACCAAGCTTTGTGCATGATGCAAAGTTGTGACCAACAGGGGAACAAAAACTGGACAAAAACTGGGAAAAAAAAATAGTTACCGTCTTCCTTGTAACTATTGCTGCTTTAACAAAAAACCACAAAGAAATGGTTTTACAGAATGTGCATTCCCCCCCTCACAGTTCTGGATGCTAGCCATCCAGACTCTGGGCTTGGCTCTTGGGGGCAGTTTTTCTTGGTCTATTTTAGCATCCAGTATCTGCTGACAGTCTTTAGTGTTCCTTGGTAACTCTCTGCCCCTGTGTGCATTTCTGTGTCTATTTTGCTCTTTTGACTACTCAGAAGTCATTAGGTTTAGGACCCATCTTACTCTGGTATCGGCTCATTAACATAACAAAGAACCCCCTATTACTAAACAGGGTACTTAACTGGCATGGAGTTGATTCTGACTTGTATTAATGCTGTAGAAATGCTCCTTAGGGTTTCTGAGACCAAATCTTTATGGAAGGAGATCTCTTTCATCTTTGGAGGGCCTGGTGGGTTTGGACAGCTGACCTTGTGGTTTGCAGCTTAGCACTTAACCCATTGCACCACTAGGGATCCCTATTTTCAGGAACCAAAAAGAAAAAAAAATCCGGTGTCATTGAGTTGATTTCCACTCATAGCTAACTTATATAGGATTTCCAAGGCTGTAAATCTTTACAGGAGAAGGATGACTTCATCCTTCTCCCAAGGGATGGCAGATGGGGGTGAACTTCTGACTCTGAAAAAGTACATTTTAATGCTTACCAGACAGTGCCACTAGGGCTCCTTATTTATAGGTATAGGGATTAGGATTTCTACATAATTTGGAGGACACAATTCAATCTATAACATCCTCCTAAAATTCACAGCCAGAGGGGAAGCTAAATGGTTAATGACCATTACTATATGCCTGGTTATTAAGGAACCTGGTGGTAATTTGGGTTTAGAATTGGGTAACTAACCACAAGATCATCTGTTAAACTCACTAGCCAATCCAAGGGAGAAAACTGAGGCTGTCTGTTCCTATGAACCATCACTGAGTAAAAATTGACCCGATGATAGTGAGTTTGATTTAGTTTTACGTTTACTGTTTAACATAACCCTTCTGCTGAGTCGATTCTGACTCATAGTGACCTGGTGGCACAATGATTAAGCACTTGGCTCCACAACAAAAGGCTGGTAGTTTGCACCCACCCAGTGGTTGTAGGAGAAAGACCTGGTAGATTGCTCCTGTACAGCTAACAGCTAGAACACCCTATGGGGCAGTTCTACCCTGTCACACGGGGTTGCTGTGAGTAGAAATCTACCTAAACCCACCTAACAAATGCAGCACGTGGTGAGAGCTAAGACAGGAGCTAGGTAGAGATTCAGCTGTCAGAATAAGTAAGATGAGTCAGAGTCTTAAAAAGTCTTTGGTTACTGCAAGGCTGGAAAGAGTTTCTCTCGTGTTTTCTACTTTTGTCCCTTCTGTTCAAAATCACGGTCTGTTGGGTTCAATGATTGGATATGGTGTGAGGTCAGGAGTGAAGCTTTCCCTGAAGAAGGGGCGCCCATTTGGCATCTGAATGATGAGACAGTCAGCAAGAGAAAAGGGGAGAAGAGAGTTCTGGAAAGAAGGGTGAGCATGCTTCATAGTCCAGCTACCTGTGCAAGAAAAATAAACCTACCATGACGAGATGTGTGGCAGACATTGTCTTAAACTCTTTGCATATGTATTTTCCTGTTTAGTATTCATGAAAGCTCTCTGAGGTAGGTGCTATTAATTTCCGAGTTTTGCAGGTGAGGTTCCGTGGCTGGGTGCTCTTGCTGAGATGGCAAGAGAGCAGGCACTGGACTGAGATCACTTGTGGGCTGAGCTGCCTAGTGACCACAGAGAGAGAGGCACATCGATGCTGGGAGCATGGTCACAAGTCAGTGATGTTTGGGTTGATGCCTGTGGTCCATGGATGTAGCACACAGTCTGGAGTGTTTCACGGACTCCTCCTCTATGTCCAAGTCTAAGGATGAGCCAAGAGCAGGCTCCTATATGATCCATAGCACCATGAGGACATTGCCAGATCCTGAGGTTCAGGTGAGCCGGGGAAGGTGAGGGGGATGTTGCCTTGACGGTCACAGGCTCCAGGACCTCCCGGTGGCCTCTGTGAGCTGTGTGAGGCAGCTGCGGGACTGGGCTGGCCTCAGCGGTCCCTGTGCTCTGTCTTGCAGGTTTGTGTCCTATTGCCCGAAAACCAACATCAGCTTGTCCTCCTTGCGGACCTTCCGGGTGTTCAGAGCTTTGAAAGCTATTTCAGTGGTTTCAGGTAAGTCCCAGTAACTTTCAACACTAGCTCATGACTGGAAAGAACGTCTTTTCATATGTAAATTGTTCAAGATACTTTCACCCAGGCCAAACACACTCTCTGCTTTTCTCATTTCTTTGACTTGTCAATGAATATTTATTTAGCACCTAATAGGTCTAAGCAATGTGCTGGCCACTTGGGATATATCAGTGCACAGGATCCTGTCCTCATGGTGTTTACCTTCCAGGAGAGGGATGGGAAGACAGACATTCATCAACAGCTATAATAAATACGTAAATTCTGTTGTATGCTAGAAAGTGATATATCCAATGGAAAAGGAAAAGTAGGTAGCATAAGGGCTATTGCAAGTCCCAGGGGCTGGGGAGAAATGGCTGTGATTTTAAATACAATGAAATGGTCATAGGGGAGGGGGAGGCACGTGTCAACATAGAAGGAAGACTGTTCTGGGCAATGGAAACAGGCAGGGAAAAGACTGAGCAATAGCGAGGATGCTGGAGCAGAGCCGGTGATGTGCCAGGTGGCAGTGGTGACACTAAACAGCTCACAGGGAGCCTTGCAGGAATGGGAGAATTTGGGCTGGATCACGAGAGAGAAATAATAGCCAGGCGAGAGATTGGACGCTACCTGACTTGACGCATGCTTTGAAAAGCTGGTGTCAAGGAGTCTGTGTAGAAAAAGAATGTTTAGAAGCTGATCGTAGTAGCAATTGTACGTTCTACTTGATGTGATTGAAATATGAAAGGATATGATATATTCAATCTCAACTAATAATAGTAATAATAATAATAATAAAAACACAAGTTAAACAAAAAAAGAAAGTTGAGTCTGGCGGTGGGGTGGATACCTGGTTGTAGGGGAGCAAGTGTGGAAGCAGGAAGGTCAAGTAGGAGGCATGGTGGCTGCTGAAGAAATGATCTGCTCAGACCTCCTGCTGTGGAGAGCCTCGTGCACTGACGGCCCCACCTCAATCCATCATGGCAAGGCCATGTGCAAACCCATTCCTGCTGGATTCTTCTAACGGAGAACTGTGCTTCAGAGGCTCCCTAGCCACCCAACGGAGATGCTTCTATATCTGTACAATCGACTGAGATTCTCCTATATCTGTGTCCTTGACTGAGACTCTTCCTATCCAATCCACCTTCCCTTTCTCAGATGTCAAATCTGCACTGCACTCCGAAGCCTCTCCCTATGTACTCCCATTCCTCCCTCTTTATTCTTCCCAGTCGCTTCCTGAAGCAAATCCCATGCACATCTAATCTCGTTTGGTTGTCAGCTTTTCGGAAACCCCAAGCTGACAAAGGAGGCCAATGCTGTCATCAAGAGATGACAATCAAGAGATGACAATCAAGAGATGACAACCGAGAGATGACTACTTAGAGATGGTAGTGCTCTTAGATTAGTTGACACGTTGAATTTGAAGTGACTGTTAGACACCTCCGTGGAGTCGCCGAGTAGGCAATTGGAAATATGAGTCTAGAGCTCCCGGGGACAACTGGAATGAATGGAGCCACCCATTTAGACATCATGAGCCTACGGGAGGTATGTGGAGTCATGAGACCTGATGAGATTCCCCAGGGATGGAGTGTAGATGGAGAAGAGAGGACACACTTGGGCTCTACTGAGCTGCAGGGGACTCCAGTTTTAATGAGGGATGAAGAAATGAGAAACTAGAATGGAAAATGAGCAGCAATCACCAGTGTGGTCTCCTTGAAGCCAGGTGAGAAAGGTGCTTTATGAATATGCATGACCCTCTAGCCAATTAGATTACTATGGAATCTCTCTTCCTCCTTTTAACTTTCACTCTTTCCTTTATTAAAAAAAGTACTTTTCTGGGATTTTCTATTCACCTCTCTCCTCTTCCCTTCTCTTATAGTCTCTTCTATCAAAAGCTTTGGCAAATCAAGAAAAACCAAAGGGCTTATTTAGTTCTATGAGTGTATAGAGTTGAACTCTATCAGGCATGCCTACTACCAAAGCTCCAGGTGATTTTGATCCTTTCAAACAGAGTATGTTATTATTATTTTTTGAACCCCAAACCAGTGTGCATAGTGGGAAGAAAACGTAAACCGGTACTTTATCTCCCTGAGAACTTCTCTTCTCCTCCTTCTCTTTTGACTCCTCGGTCAATCGTTCACATCTCCCCCCAACTCGGTGTAGAGTGACTCCATGTTGTTAGCTTGAAACCGCCATGAGGGGTGGGGTGGGGGGGCTGGAGAGTATTAAGCATGTGGAATTCAGCAGAGCAACCTATAAACCCTACAAGTCAGGGCCCCTCCCCTTCCCAGATCGCTGATGGTTGATCCAGCATATCATGAAATGTTGTTCTTCTTATTTTGTCAATCAGAAGCCTATCAGGGTGCCACGGCCATAGTAGGTGCTTAGTAAATGTGTCTTGAATGAAAACAAAGCAAAACAAACAAAACTGATGATTCTTATACACCGAGCTTGTTTGTTAATTTTCAGGGCATCTTCATTCTTGGGTTCAGTAAAAACTCCCTCTTCCTGCCGTCCTCCCCAATGCGGTTGTATCTCATGGTACCTCGTGCACCTTAATGGGTGTGCAACGCACTAAATATATTGGTGCAGCTCCTTATTTAGCATGGCCCGAGTTTGGTCTTCAGGCTGCACTTGACCCCCAGCTGAGGGGGTGCCCTCCCAGCTGCCACCAGAGATACTCCATTTGCCCAGACGACAAGTTTCCTACTTGTTCGGAGCAACGTTGTGCCATGCATAGGACAAGGAAGAGAAGACTGTCTCGCGGGTAGTTGGTCCTTTTGATGACCACTTCGAAGGCACAGAGTTGGAACGAAAAAGCGGGCCATCAGAATTTTAGGCCTGGTGGCCGCCTGGTCCTCCTTGCCCCTTGCCCCTTGTCTGCTGGGAGTGGTGAGGGTTTGCTGTCTCTCCAGCCTGTCATCCTCCTCAGGTCTCAAGGTCATCGCTGGGGCCTTGATTCGCTCGGTGAAGAAGCTTGTGGATGTGATGATTTTGACCTTCTTTTGCCTGAGTATCTTCGCCCTGGTGGGGCAGCAGCTTTTCATGGGCAATCTGAACCAGAGATGTGTCAAGGTGAACTGTACCAACGAAACGATTGCTAGAGATAAAGGTAAGTGCCTCATTGGGTTGACTTTGTTTATCCACACGCAGATGCTCTGCAGATCGGCAGAACGGTCTCCTGGGAGGAAGGGGCGGCTTCATCATCCAGGGTTCCCTTGCAGGCAGATGCCTTTATTAGACAGAGAGCTGCTTCTTTCTGTGGGTTTCCTTGGAGACGGAAAGGCCCAAAGCCACACCCACATAGGGGCAACTCTCTCGTCTTCCCATTTAGATCTCTGTGTTTTGCAGAAGTCTCCCGAATGCCAAAAACTGGCCAAAGGGAATCCCAGCAACGTCCCAGGTACCCCTTGTCAAGTAGTCTCTTCAAATATCACTTATTTTCTATGTCCCACTCTCTCCACACTAGGGTCTAAAATCTCACATGGCTGCACTTGGTTTGTGTGTGTGTCTTGGTTTGTGAGCTTCCCATTACCTTTACCTGTTGTGTTAGTCCGGGTCAACTAGAGAAACAAATCCATGGAGACACGCATATGTGTATAAGAGCTTTATATCAAAGAGTAATTGCATATTAAGAAAACATCCCAGCCCAGTCCAGTTCAAGCCCATAATGTTAGCTCATATGCCCGATACCAGTCTATAAATTCCCCTTCAGACTCACACAAAACATGCAATGACGCCAAATGCAGGAAGATCACGGGCCAGTGGGTGGAAAGTCTTGTGGATCCAGTGGTGGTGGAAGCATCTCAGTGCTGGCTTGGGTCTCCACATGGCTCCTCCAGCTCCAGGGCTCTGGCTCCATCAGCATAGCTCCACATGGTTTGTCAATGGAATGTCCAGCAGAGGGTGTGTGTCTGACCTCCAGTGAGCTGTTTATCTCCTTAGTGCCTCCAAATGAGGTCATCAAGCTGCGACCTGATTGACAGGCTAGACTCCACCCCTTCACTCTCAATAGTTTCAAGTTGACACCAGATTATGTAATTGCCACACCTGTGTTTGCCTACCCTCTCTGGGTGGTCCCTGGTTCGGCGTTACCTATCAAAGAGCAGGTCAGTGGTGGTGGTGTTCACTGCCTCTCTCTCTCATTTCTCCCTTCCCCTGCTCTATTTCCTTTCCCTTACTCCTTCAAGAAGACTTAAAGTTCTGCTTTCGGCAACAACTTTGCCCCCAGGAGAGAATGTAGAACCCTTTTGGTCAAGCACGATCTGCCATGTGTGTGTCCTCTCTTTCCTGCCAGTGCGTTTGTGTCTGAATGCGTGCCTTTCTTTTCCCAGAGGGTTGCATTGAAAAGAAAAAAGGTTCGACGGAAGACAGGATGTGTAGCCTCTGGAGCAATGCCAGGTAAGAGGTTTATACTCTCGAGGTGTCTCTCAAGTAGAGCACTTCCAGGCCCTTAGAAATGAACACAGAAAATGGTTTGTATCTGATGATTTGTGGAAGCAATGATGATCGTCCTCAAGCATTACTTCTTGGTTTGAGTGTCTAAACAAGGGCTGGTGGTGTTTCTAAAGCTCTTGGCTGCTAACTGAAATCCCTGCAGTCTGAACCCACAAGCAACTCCGTGGGAGAAAGATGTGGCCCTTTACTTCTGTGACTATTGGGTCCTGTTCTGTTCTAGTCTGTCCTATCGCGTGGCGATGTGTCAGCGTGGACTTGACAGCGATGGGTTGGGGTACGCTAGTAAGTGCGCATTATGACAGAGTTTGGTACACAGAGTCTGTGTACCAAAATGGCACACAGAGGCTCCAAGAGCACACATTGGGGACATTGTGCCAATAGATTTGCTCAATACAGGATTCCCTCAAGCCTGTAATGTGGAAACAACGCAATGTTCAGAAAACTCAGTAAAGTGAAGTGGACAGATAGCAGAAACGTGAGTGAAGGGGGACAAGGGAGAGTGTAAGATAGGGGACAACAACGACAATATATCATCAATCAGGGATTTGGCGGGAGGGAGAAAAGGGGGAGCTGATACTAAGGCCTCAAGTAGAAAGAAAATGTTTTGGAAATGATGATGGCAATGTATGCACAAATATGCTTGATACAATGGTTGTGTGGAATGTTATAAGAGCTCTAAGAACCCCCAATAAAATGATTTTAAAAATAACAAGCTCAACCAAGCAATAAAATGCGTATGCTTTTGTGGGTCCCTCTTCCTTCTTCTGGGATGTCAGGCTCTGGGATGTCAGGGCTCTTGGCCATGGAAGAGATTCAGGTCAGCGGAGATTCAAGTTTAGTTAATGTGCTGGGCATGCTGATGAAACAGACTTCGTTCATTCCCCAGTAACAAAGAGTAAGCGAAAGCTAACCATGTGCCAAGTTCTGTGTCAGGCTTAAGAAACGCAGTTACCAACAAGGCAGTACCTGTCTGTTGAAACTGATGTCCTGATATAAAAAAGAAACAACCCATTGCCCTCAGGTCAGCGACGACTCACAGCAACCCTGTAGGACAGACTAGGCTTTCCAGGGCTGAGGTGTGTACAGAATGAGACTGTCCCATCTGTCTCCCGAGGACTGTCTGGTGAGTGCCAATTGCCAACCACTTGAGTCATCACTGAGGCCTGACCTATACACCACCAGGGCTCTTGTTGAGAGGACATGCCAAGTAGATGCTGACAGGCCTGATGAGTGGGACATGGGAGAACAGGGGACAGAACCGTACTTCTGGACAAGCAGGGAAGACATCTAAAACGTCACAGGTTTGGGATACATCAGACTCACAAGGCATAATGTGAGGTTTACTGACCTTGGTCGGTTTTGATGGGACACAGGTATATTGATCTTAACGAGAGACCCAGCAGCTGCCAATATATACCTCTTTGACCCCTCACTCACATGGGGCATGCATGGCGACTGTGCACAAACCCCCAGGTGTGTGTGTGGGGGTGTCACTTAGACACCTGGAGGCAGCAGCTCTGGTTTCCAACGGGTCTGTTAGGTTGCCCTCCTCTCACGGATTCTGTGCTCCAGTCACGGAGTTTGGGGTCTATGTGCACTCCCCAAGCTCTAGCTGACCAACTCTTAGAGCCTGGCATTCCACGTTGGTCCTAGCTGAGTAATTCAGAAGGATATGGCAGTCTAAGAAGGCCGACCCAAGAGCCTCTTCCCAGGTTGGCTCCAGTGTGTTCCGAGACTAGGCTTGGTTTTCACCTTCTGTTTATTGCTCCCTTCCCTAAGGACTCGGTGACCAGGGACTTTACCGCTCAGATCTGAATGATGCAGAAGGAGTTTGAGTAGGTGGGGGAATGGGGAAAATCCTCTCAGCAAGATGGCCAGGATGAAGGGCTGGAAGCAGGAGGCATGGTGTGCGTGGAGAGATGCCAAGTCTAGTTGGGCATGCAGGGGAGAGGGCCAGACAGGAAGACTAACGTTGACCCTGCAGGGCCTGGTAGCCCACTGCGCCAAGAATTTTGACCTTGATCATAGAGGAGATAGGAAATGTGGGCAGGATTTGATGCAGGAGGATGCCCTGGATCAGTGACATGTTTTAAAAGGTCCCTTTGAATTGGACTTGGTGGTCGTGAGTGTGTCTGGCTGCAGCGTGGAGAATGGGTCGATGGGATCAGGAGATGGTTCAGGAGGCTTGGCCTGCTCATGGGGGAGTGAGGAAGCTGGACAGAGACTGTGAAGGGAGAAGGAGGGAAGAAGGCTTGGATTTTGAGAACAGAAAAAGGAAAGGACTTTCTAGACTGAAGAAGGGCGTTGGTGTGTGTGTGTGTGTGTGTGTGTGTGTGTGTGTGTGTGTGTGTGCGCGTGCGCGCGTGCATGTGCACACATGTGAGCATTGCCCACGAGAACATGTAACTCTTTTGTTGGTGGCCGGTGTGAGAAACAGATGACACCGTTTGCTGATGCAGGGAGACGGGAGGAAGAGGAAGGAGCAGGATGAAGAGACGTGATCACCTAAATATGGGGATGAGAAGAAACACCCAGAGGGAGGAGGGTGGGTTGGAGTCAGCAGTGAGGGAAGGCTTACATTCTTTTTTTCCAAATCCATTCTATTGGGAGTTCATACAGCTATATCCTTCCAAGGTTCAGGCACATTGAGCAGTGTTGTACAATGGCTACCACGGTCTGTTTCACAGGCTTCTCTTCTTCATGGTAAGTAGGCCCCGAGGGAAATGAAGCTCAGTGGGTTGGTCCACAGTGGGCTCTTGGAGCATAGTGACCCTGGCACTTCACAGGATTGTGTTGAGGTTGGTGGGGAAAGCACAACAATGGCTTTCTCCTGCTTGGGTACCCTAAAGTAGAGCTAACCCTCAATACCCACTCTCTCACTGTCATCGAGCTAATTAGGACCAGGGCAGATCTGCCCCCATGGGTGACTGAGACTGCAACTTTTTTAAAAAATCATGTTATTGGGGGCTCGTACAACTCTTATCTAGAGTCTACTTCTTTCATGCTTCCTCCCCCACCCCATTGTGTGTTCTATCGGTTCTATTCTGCACCCTGGCTGACTCCTTTCTTTCTTGTGACCCTTCTGTGAGGGAATGGCCAGTTGTCTACAGATGGGCTTTGGGTCTCCTGTCCAACCCCATCATTTGCATCAAATGCTTGATTTCTAACTGTTCAAACGTACCCACCAGCACCTTGGGACAAAGACCTGGCATTCTACTTCTTGACAACTCTATGGTGTGTCACTTTACTCTGAAACACTGATGTCACCATGCATTGGGCTCAACTTGACAGCCACTTGCTTTGAGGGTTGTTTTTTAAAAAAAGATCCTTTATACAAGTGACTCTGGGAAGGTTGGTTTTCATTGGAGGTCATTTGGGGCCATGCGATATTTTTAAATGACTCATGTATAGTACTTTTATAAAAAGGGATATGTATTTAGCAATCACTAAAGCACATGCCTTTACAATAGCCTATCAATCGACTGGTCAACGTGTGCCTCGGTGTTAGGGGTGTAGACCAGTGCGAAGATAGTCAGTGTCCAGGTGTTTATAAGAGCAAAAGACTGTTAGCAAGTGAAAGGTAAATATTCATCATCAGCCAACCCGCTAACTGAATCACAGGACTGGAAGTCACAAAAGGAAAGAGTCTCTCCCGGCTCGCTGATACAGAAGAAGCTTCCTGCTAGAGTGTTCCATGAGAAAAGCCAGGATGACCTCCAATTTGCAGTATAAGAACTATGTATTTAAATATAAGCTTCCTTCTTCATGCATAACATCTAGAAACTTGCTGTTAACACGTTGGCCTTGGGCCGTGGACCTGGGGGAGGGAGGCGAATAAGAGAGACTTAATATGCACTGGTTTCCCTTTTGTGCTGCTCCTTGTCCAGAATGTAACGGCACTTGATTCTTCAAGGCGCTGTTTGTAGGCGCTGTTGTGTTAGTTCTGATTCACGGCAGCCCTACTACAACAGGAAGAAGCACTGCCTGGTCCTACTCCATCCTCACAATGGTTGTGTGCGAACCCATTGTTGCAACCACTGTGTCCACCCCCTCCCCCCTTTTGGTTGGTTAGTATGAGTTTATCAATCAATCAGTCTTTGAATAAGAGTCTTTGAGAGAGAGCCCACTCTAAGGTTTGGCCTGGAAGACTTGGTAGATGGGGAGGGCAAGGGTGAAGTGCTTCTTTAAACACTCTCTTTTCTTAAGGGTTTTATTGAATGAGCCCATGACCCTTTGAAAAACAAAAGGGAAGCCGGGCTGTGGGGAAAAAATAATTCTTATTCTGGCTTCTTTTTCCCAATATCTAGCTCCTGCTCGGAACAATTTACATGCAAACACACCAAACACAATCCTGATTATAATTATACCAATTTCGACAACTTTGGCTTGTCTTTACTTGCCATGTTCCGGCTGATGACCCAAGATTCGTGGGAGAGGCTTTATCAACAGGTTATCCACTCACTTGTTTCTCTGTTCTCTGTGACCCCTCTTCTTGTTTCTGTTGCCTATGTGTCACCTGTGTTTTGATGAGTTAAATTCTGTTCCCCCAAATACATGTTTTTGTATATCCCTCCTGGAAATGTGATCCCATTTGAGAACAGGGTTTTCTTTGGTATGCTAAGGAGGCCATATCATTTAGTGGCTACATTTTAGCCAATGACTTTTGAGATACGAGTATGAAAAAGAGCAGGTGAGGCACAGAAGCGAGAAAGCAAGAACAGATAGGGGGGGAAGATAGGGACCTGATGTCCCCCGCCCCAACTCTTGGAGACCCTCTAGGACAGGGTAGAACTGCCCTTGTGAGTTTCCAAGACTGTAACTCTTTACAGGAGTAGAGAGCTGGTGGTTTCGAACTGCTGTCCTTGCGGTTAGCAGCCAATGTGTCACCGCTATGCCACCTGGGCTCCTCTCCCAAGGGACAGAGGGACAGAAACAGAAAAGGGACTAGGGCCTTCCCCACACAGAGCAAGGAAGTCATTCCCAGCGCCAGAGCCCTGAATCAGACTTCCAGCCTCCGAAACAATGAAACAGTGCCGTTCCTTTGGTTAAGTCACCCACTTGTGCTGTTTCTGCCACTACAGCACGGGAGAACTTCAGACATGGACCGTCTGTCCATCAGCCACACCACCTAGTTGTACTATTGGATTCTGCTTTAGAAGTTCGGTTAGAGAGCCCAAGAAAGTGACCAATGGGCTCTCTGGGAGCAATGTGAGAAACTCCAACAGTCTCTCCTAGAAAGAGTGCTTCTCTCCTGATGCCCTTTTGCCTGGAGTCCCACAATCGGAGCTTTCGTGTTCTTAAAATCTTGCTGCTCCTCTATCTTTAAAAAAAAATTTTAATGCGAAGGCATTGGAGGAAGTAGTACGAGGTTTAAGATTTCCAGGTGGGCGTGAGAGGGTGTCTCCTTACCGAGAGGGTACCAGGAGACCTGAGTGACTGTGAGGCTGCAGACACTGCTGGGAGCGGGCAGAGCCACCCTTACGTCAGAGCTTGGGGTTGTCCCACAGAGAGATCCAGAACTGGGGGTAAGCCATCTCTAGCTGCTGTGTCATCTGTGCCCGGATGATGGTCAGGCCTTTTCCTTGCAGACACTGCACACCACTGGGTACTACTCGGTCTTCTTTTTCGTGGTGGTCATCTTCCTGGGCTCGTTCTACCTGGTGAACTTGACCCTGGCCGTCGTCACCATGGCTTATGAGGAGCAGAACAGGAACGTGGCTGCTGAGACGGAGGCCAAGGAGAAGATGTTTCAGGAGGCCCAGCAACTGTTAAAGGAGGAGAAGGAGGTAGGCACTGCTGGGGCCAGACAGTGGAGGCTGCTCAGAGGTTGATCTCAGAGACCATGGGACCTCTGGGCTCATGGCTGCTGCAAAAGGCCTGGTCTCAGAGCTTTCTCTATGGGTGCTTGTCTGAGAACTTAAATCCCCGGTAGGCTGGCTGTGCCACTGTGTCTCACCAAGGGGTCTAGGCGCAGGACTCTGGGGAAAAGGAAACGCTTGGGCTTGATTCTCTTCTTTGACGTGGGGAAGCCTGAGCCTTCGAGTCCAGTCACTGATGAGAGGAGAATCTCTCTTCTGCATCTGAGTCCAGGCTCAGCTCAGCTTGGTGGAAACCCAGGGACGTCTGTGTTCAGGATCTTTGCGCGGGTGGGTTTGGGAAAGCGATCACGAGGACTCTAGAGATGGCAGTCTGGGACCATCTTTCCCTTCCTGCAATGGCTAGCCTATTTGCAGGTCGTTCTAATGCCCCCACCCCCACCCCCACTCCACACCCACCCTCGTCTCTGTACATTTTCATAACTCAATTGTCAGATCTTCAGAGCAGGGACTCCGCTTCCTCGTTCCAAATCCATTCCCCATAGGGATTTGTTCCCTCGTTCTTCAGACAAACCTTGAACTCAGGGCCTGGGACATAGCAGTGTGAGTGGCGCAGAGATGGGGAAGTGTCCCTGTTACTTTCCAGGACCACAATCTCTGAGAGAACGATGACAACCAACAAGGGGACAGGTCCCCACCTCCCGGATAAGTAATGCCAAGGTCAACCTATTTCACACTTGCGTGACGAGCCATCTACATGGTGCGATGATGCCACCAGCGAGAGGACACCATGCTCGCCAAGGCCGGGGTGGTGGCAGATTGTAGGGGCAGGCCTCACCTAGTCACGAATTGGTTTTTGTTTACCTTCTAAGGCTCTGGTTGCCATGGGAATCGACAGAAGTTCGCTGACGTCTCTGGAAGCCTCCTCTTTTTCCCCAAAGAAGAGAAAATTCTTTGGTAGCAAAAAAAGGAAGTCCTTTAAGAAAAAGTCTAGAAACGACCAGCCTTCCGGATCTGATTCAGATGAAGAATCCAAGAAAAAGGTAAGCCTCTGTCTAAGGGCTCACCGCAGACGAGCTAGCTGGTTATTAAATGGGCAAGCGCCAGGGCAAGGAGGAGGCAGCATCGACAGATCCTTCAGCCAGAGCGTGACGGGACCAGATTTAACGTCAGGCTGGAGGATGCACCGAAGAGGCAGGACTGGAGGAGGACGGGGATGGAAGCGATCATGTCAGAGAGTGTCGCAATCATCCACATGAGATGCGGTCATGGTTTCAATGAGGTTCCGGGCAGTGGGGATGAAGAGAAATCCACAGAGGATGGGGTCATTTATGGACGGTCTTGAGCTCATGGCCACTGAGTCGATTTTGACTCCTCTCGCTATAGCGGAGCAGAACTGCCCCTGGGGGTCCCTGAGCCTGTCCATCTTTATGGGAGTAGAAAGCCTCCTCTTTCTCCCTTGGAGCACATGGTGGTTTTGAACCGCTGACCTTGCAGTTAGCAGCCCGGTGCGTAACCCTGCGTGCCACCAAGGCCTCTTCTCTAAAGAAGACGTAGAGGGTGAAGGTAATGCAGGTTTAAGGCATGGAGTCCTTGGGTGGCATAAGTGGTTAAGCACTTGGTGACTATTCAAAAGGTTGGAGGTTCCAGCCCACCCAGAGACCGCTCAGGGTCACAGCCTTGACAACTCTCAGAAACAGTTCTCATCTGCATGCCTGGCCTCACCACCTCTCGGTTTGGACTCGCCAACTCACAACAGAGGTTAGGTCAGCTGACCCGGTGCAGGGTTGTTTTTTTGGTAACAGGAAAGGAACATATTTTGGGAGGGGGGCAGTTCTGCTTGAGACATGCTACAAGTGAGATTTCCTGGGAATCCACGCAGGGATATTGAGTAGACAGTTGAATACGTATAAATAAAACTCTTTTCATTTGTTTCTGAGGGGCAGGAGGTGGGTCGTAGGGAAAAAATGGAAACCAGTTGATGGGATGTTGATTCTGACTCATGGTGGCTCTGTGTGTGTGTGTGTGTGTGTGTGTGTGTGTGTGTGTGTGTGTGTGAGAGAGAGAGAGAGAGAGAGAGAGAGAGAATGAGGATAATGGGGCTTCTCAGGGTTTTCAATAGCTGATTTTTTAAAAGTAGGGATCACCCAGACCTTACTCCTGAGATGCTTCTGGGTGGATTTGAACCTGAAACCTTTGGGTTTATAGCCAACTGTCTTATGAGGGTGTCAACAATTTGTACCACCTGGGTATTATTACCATTAAGGTGGCAAGTGTTGAGGCAGGTTTGAATTGTGAAGAAAGAAGTCAGAAGCGAGGACAAAATGGAAGGAACAGGCCAGGCGATGGTGGCTGGAGGCACTTCGAGGACATGGAATGGGCAGAAGACACATATGTATGCCGGAGGAGGGGGTAGGGGGGAGAGGGCGACTACCGTGTTAGGAGAGATCTCAGGGTTTGGAGATTTCTTGATGTCCCATAACAGCATATTTAAGAGATCAGACATAGAACTGTCTTTTAAGTTTCTCTTTACTCCACAAAACAACGAGTGAAGTGTTAGACATATAATATACAAGTGTCATTTTCCTTTCATGGGAACAGGGACTGGCTGTGGAAAGCCTAGAGGCTGCAATTAGATTAGCTTATCACAGAAGGATCATTCCTCTGGGCCCTGGCTGGTGAGAACCTTTGGAGAAAGCATCATTTTAGACACCTGAGTGTTCTGGATAGCTGGAGGTTTGTGTCCTTTCATCTCCAAAGCTTTTAGAATTATAGGTAACATCAGGATCAATAAGCCATTGGGCAGACCTGAGGAAACGCTTGAGGGTTAGTATATAGATTTTGTGGCATTTATTTTGAGTGCTCTTTTTAGTTACTGATTTTTAAATCTATTTAGGCCGGCACTTTGCTATCTGACTCCAATCCATCTTTCTAGATTTAGAGTAGGCAAATAGATGCATAGTGACAGGAAGTAGATTAGTGGTGGCGGAGTAGTAGGTTCCCCGTGGCTTACTACCTTAAGGTCAGGAGTTCGAAACCACCAACCGCTTGGCAGGAGAACATGGGGTTTTCTACTCCTGTAGAAAGTTACAGTCTCAGCCACCAACAGGGTCCATTCTACTTTACCCTCTAGGGTCACTGTGAGTCCAAAATGACTTGTTGGCAGTGTGTTTGGTTCGGTTAGTTTTGTTTGCTCGGTTGTGCTCCTACACTAAGCTGTGGTTTATTTATTCTTTGTTTTTGGTAAAAAACAAAAATGCATTTTCACGTTGTCTCTTTGTTAACAATGGATATAATGGACAAAGGGAATAAAATTTCTATGGGCAAAAAAGAAAAATCGAACCCATTGTTGTTGAGTGGATTCCTACTCATGGTGACAGATGTGTTACTGAGTTGAACTATTCCATGGGGTTTTCTAACTTCTCTTTTCAACATTTATTTATTTATAGTCTTGCTTGTCTTTATGGAGGTAGATCACCACATTGACAGGACTTTATTCTGTGATGCCTCTGGTTAGATTTGAACCACGAGCCTCTCTGTTAGTGGTCAAGTGCAACCCACATGTCCCTCCTGGGACTCTAGGGATGGATACACATGAGAAATAAGACCAGCCAACCATATTACTCTAATCTACTGAATATAAAATAAGAAAGTAGAGCTTGTGGCATTCTGTGGAGATGAAGTGTGCTGACATGTACAGAGTACTGAGCCTCCTATTCCATTGAGCACATGGTATTCAAAGAAAGCAGACTGTGAAATTGTGAGGAGAGGCAGCCCTTGCCCCTGGGCAGCCTGCCATGTTTTGTTTTACAGCCACACCTCCTAGAGCAAACCAAACGGCTCTCCCAGAATCTGTCAGTGGACCCGTTCGATGAGCATAATGACCCCTTTCAAAGACAGAGGGCTTTGAGCGCTGTAAGCATCCTCACCATCACCATGCAGGGTAAGCCAGATTTCAGCATCCTTACAGCCAATAACCAGTCCCCCCATAATCCCTCTACAAAAGGGACATTTTTTGAATCTACCCACTCAAACTTCCAGCAAAGACTGCTTTCCCATGCCTCCTTAGAATATTTAAACAAAAAGACTTGGTAGAAGTGGCCTTTCCTGTGGGTGGGTCTATGTTGAGCCAAGCACTTGGGTCGTGGGGAGAACTGGTCAGACACCAGGTGATTGGGACAGTGAGCACAGGCCCTTGTGCCCTTGCCAGGTTGTCACAGGCCGTCCCCGTGACAATGAAAGTTAGTCCAAGAAGAGAAGACCTAGAACTTTCCAGAGAGTGGCAGGTGTCAATCAAAATTAAAATCAGTCATCTGGCAAGAACTTTGAAGTTCTTACTACGTCTGATCAACGGGATTCACAGCATGCAACAGGGGTCCACCTAAAAGTTTGGTGTTTAGGGGCCAAACTCAGGACCTGGTAATGTTGGGGTTGAAGGGATTCCTTGACTCCCTAATCTGCACTTTCAGCAGCAAAACCCAGCTCTGAGATGTCCAATAAACATGTAAGGATGTTATTTATCTGACCGTTGCGTGGTAGTTATGTGTGGGAAACTCTCTCTTCTGAGCTGTGATGGGTGGGAAAATCACCTGGGCAGCACAAGTCCCTGCTCTTCGATAGGATGGGCCCTATCATAAAACAAGTGATGCTGGGGGAGCGGGACGCAGTAAACTACTCGGGAAAACAGCAGCTAGAATGGGTCAAGAGATACACACTCAGGTACTCTTTCATTCTCCATCTCTAGAACAAGAAAAGTCACAGGAGCCTTGCCTCCCGTGTGGGGAAAACCTGGCATCAAAATACCTCATATGGAATTGCAGCCCTCAGTGGATATGTGTGAAGAAGGTGTTGAAAACTGTGATGACTGACCCCTTTACTGAACTAGCCATCACCATCTGCATCATCGTCAACACCATCTTCCTGGCCATGGAACACAACAAAATGGATGAAGGCTTTGTGAACATGCTGAATAACGGGAATCAGGTAACCCTAGAACTTTGAACACAGGAAGCATAATTCAAGATGTGAGTGATGACTCTTTTCCAATCGACACATGGCATCAGTGGCCGGGCCTAACCTAGCTTTTGCACCCTCTTGAGTGGAGTAGAAGAGAAAGTGACCTGTGATTTTATTTTCACCCAGTTCCTTGCCCTCATTGGGTGGCAAGACCATGCTGACAAGCCATCTGGACACTGTGTTGATCCTCTAGGGCAGTGGTTCTCAACCTCAGTCATGCCGCGACCCTTGAATACGGTTCTTCATGTGGTGGTGACTCCCAACCATAAAATTATTTTTGTTGCTACTTCATCACTGTCATTTTGCGACTGTGATGAATTGGGCGACCCCTGTGAAAGGGTCATTCGACCCTCAAAGGGGTCATGACCCACAGCTTGAGAACCGCTGGTCCAGAGGCTGTCTCCCTCTGAGACTTCTGTAATGCCTGCAGCCCACTCTCAAGAGCGTGTCTCCAAAGGGCCTCAGCTCCTCTTCTCACGTTGTCTTTGCTCCACCCTAGGTGTTCACGGGCATTTTCATAGCAGAGATGTGCCTCAAAATCCTGGCACTGGATCCCTACTACTACTTCCAGCGCCGCTGGAATGTGTTTGACTGCATTGTGGCGATTCTGAGTTTTGCCGATGTGATGACCTCCACCAAATGGCCCTTTTTCCGCTCCTTCAGAGTGGTAAGAGCCTTTCTTTTTAAAATTAAAAAAAATCGTTTTATTGGGGGCTCCCCAGCTCTTGTCACAACCCATCTATCCATGGTGTCAAGCACATTTATGCATAGGTTGCCATCATCATTTTCAAAACATTTTCTTTCTACTTGAGCCCTTGGTGTCAGCTCTTCATTTTTGCCCCCTCCCTCACCCACCCGGACTCCCTCTCTCATGAATCCTTGATAATGTATAAATTATTTTAATATTTCATGTCTTACACTAACCGCTGTCTCCTTTCACCCACTTTTCTGTTGTCCATCACCCAGGGAGGGGGTTGTAGGTAGATCATTGTGATAGGTTGCCCCTTTCTCCCGCCACCTTCCCTGTCCCCTCCTGGTATCACCACTCTCATTATTGATTCTAAGGGGTTTATCTGTCCTGGGTTCCCTGTGTGGTGAGCTATTATCTGTACCAGTGTACATGCTCTGGTCTAGCTGCATTTGTATGGTAGAATTGGGGTCATGATAGTAGAGGGAGGAAGCATTCAAGAACTAGAGGAAAGTTGTGTGTTTCATCAGTGTTTACTGCACTCTGATTAGGTAGGAGCCTTTCTTATTTCAGCGTGTGACGTAGCTGCTCCTGTGGACAGGAGTCTGGAGTGGGATGAATGGCCAACTCTGCTTTCACTCATCTTGTGTCCATCTCCAGAACCCCAAACCGCCTCTCTGCGGCCACTCAGTTCTTTAATGACCCTGGAAAGGCCCAGGGCGTCTTCTTCTGGGGTGCTCTTCCTAACCTCATGCAAGGATTACCCTTAAGGCCACTGGAACCAAAGTTGTGAACCTCGGGGTCACAGTGAGAGTCCTTTCCGCCAGGTGGCCTCACCTCTGAGCTCAGCACGGTTGGTGAAGACCACAGACTCCCAGGAGTGGGTCAGGCCACTGCCAGCGGGGGCCATCTCCCCACAGCCTGCTGGGCCATGTGGCTTCTGTGGCACCAGCTGGGAGGCATCCTGCCAGTCTTTGGGAGGCCTCGACGTGGGCTGGCATGGAAGAAGGCACAGAGGCGAGGCGAGGACTGTCTTTAGGGGGTGTGCTGCTCGGGGGTGGGATAAGACAGGGCCGGGAATGAGCAGAAAGGCCAATAAAGCATGATGGACCCCAGGAGAGGTGTGGAGAGAGAGCGACAGAGGAGTCACACCTGGTCAAGGAACTGGGACAACGCCGAGACAAACTTTGTCTGGGGGGGAAAAAAAAGATATTTAACGACTTGTGTGTGATTTGGGGTGGGGGGTGGGGGCAGGGAGAGCATGGATCGTATTTCTAAACCTAGGACACTTGATTCAGGTACCTAAGTGTACATTTCTTTGTACCTGAGTGGTATGTAGTATAATGCTGCTCTATGGAGGTAGGTGGTTGCTGTGGTTGTGAGAGGCCACTGCTTTGGTTCAGACTCAGAGCTCTGCCCCACATACCACAGAAAGAAGCACTGTCCCGTTCCACGTCATCCTCACAATTGTCATTACATCCGAGTCTTGTGGCAGCCGCTGTGTCGAGCCGTCTGGAGAGGGCCTTCCTCTTTTCCCACTTCTCTTGAACTTCACCAAGCCTCATGCCCTTTTCCAGAGACTGGCCGCTCCTGATGACATGTCCACAGTAGATGAGACAAAGTCTCACCGTCCTTGCCTCTAGGGGGCACGCTGACCACACTTCCTTGGAGGCCGGTCAGTTTGTACTGCTTTGGGCAGTCAATGGCGCGTCAACGTTCTTTGCCAGCACCGTGATGCAAAGGCGATTCAAAGGCATCGCTTCTTCTTCCATCTTCCTTAGTCAAGGCCCCACTTTCATATGCATAGGAGGGCACTGAATGTAGAAATTATCAAAGGTTTGTGAGGGAGGGTGGGAAAAAAAACTGAGGTCCTCAAGGGCTCAAGTGGAAAGCAAATGTTTTGAGAATGATGATGGCGACAAATGTACCAATGTGCATGACACCATTTATGGATTGTGACAAGAGCTGTATGAGCCCTGTGTAAGTCTGGGTAGACTAGAGAACCAAATCCATGGACACACACACACACACACACGTATAAGGAAGAGATTTATATACAAGAGCAATTGTACATTAAGAAAACATCCCAACCCAGTCCAGTTCAAGGCCCTAAGTCTGATATTAGCCCATATGTCCAATACCAATCCATAAAGTCCTCTTCAGACTCACGAAACACATGCAATGAAGTCAAATGCAGGATGGTCACAAGCCAGTGGGTAGAAAGTCTTTGGGTCCAGTGGCATTGTGAGCATCTCAGCGCTGGCAGGGGTCTCTCTGTGGCTTCTCCAGCTTCAGAGGTCTGGTTGCGTCCATGTGGCTTGTCTTCTGTAGTGTCTCCCAGGGAGTCACAGAGAGAGAGAAGTGTCTCTCCTGCCTCCAAGAAGGAAGTACCAGATTTCCCAGTATTCTCAGGTGAAGGTCATGCCCACACAGAAGTCTCATTGGCTATCTCCAGATTGACAGCCCAGACTCCACCCCTACACTCTTCATCCTTAAATTGACACCAGATTAGGTGACTACCACAAGCCCTCAGTGAAATGATTAAAAAGGAAAAGAAAAAAGAAAACGCCATGACTTGGGTCAAGTGCACCTTAGTCCTCCAAAGGAACATCAAAGTATGGTAGGGTGAGACAAATGGTTCCTCTCCCAACCACTCACCAAGAAGTTGGCAGTTCAAACCCACACACCCAGAGACCCCTCTGCCGAAAAATCTGGTGATAGACCTCACCCCCTCTGAAATGCAGGCGGGGTTCCCATGAGCAGAAGTTGACTTAGCGGCAGTAGCGTTTCCACTTTTAATGAAAGTTGTGTTGACCTTTGGGAAAGCAGGGCTGTATTTGCGTTGCCATTGTTCGAGCTTATCACAGCCAGCCTCCAAGGTGAAGAGCACTGTGGCCTTGTCTGTGTGAGAGACTAGACCCGCATCTTTCCCTGGACTGCACTCATCACCCTCTGCAGAGACAGCGGCGGCTCTTCTCTTCAGGCAAACATCCTTCTGGTCTGCCACCTTTTTGTCGCTATATGCCTGGTGCCTACAGGTTTGTGCTGTGGGGAGAAGCTGTTCATTGCTATCGACAGTTAATAGAAGCCACACCCAGGAAACGTACGGTTAGGTTTGCTCTAAGGCAATCATCTCCTACAAGATCCATGAAGTCCCACGGAGGACATTTCTCCATGAGAAAAGTTGTACTTACCCAAAGGGTCTTTCTCCTGGGACAAAGCATCCTATTTCTGTCATCAATATTATGTAGTTTGGATTCAAACGTGTGGCCTGGATCGTGTCATGGAGGGTGTGGAAAACCTTTCCTTTGAAGGCCCAGATAAATATGTTCAGTTTTATAGGCCTGACAGTCCCTGGTGCAGCCACTCAACTCTGTCATTACAGTGTGCACACAACCATACCAAAGAAAGTCAGACACTTGGCCATCATGCAAGTTCCAGCCCATGACAGTTCCATGTGTTACAGAGTAGAACTGCCCCATAGGGCTCCTTACAGAAGCAGAATGGCATGCCTTCTTCCATAGTACACAAGGGGGGGCTTGAACTGCTAACCTTTAAAAGCTGATAGTGAAGCAGAAACTGTTTGGGCCACTCAGGAACCTAAAAGAAGCCCTTAGGTCTTGGTCAACATTATCAGCGAGGCTGTGGTTCCATGGTCCTGTATTTATGGACCCGGGAACTTTAATGTGATGTACTTTTCATGTGTCCTGAGATAGTCTTCTTCTTTTGATTCTTTTTCAACCATTGCAAGGTATACGAAGCACTCTTAGCTTCTAAACTACACACACACACACACACACACACACACACACACACACACACACACAAAACAGGCAGTAGGCTAGATTTAACCCTTGGGTTATGGTCTAGTGACTATTGGTCTATTGTGTAGAATAAAACAGCATTCCCTTTTTATATACAATGCATGCTCAATATACAGCAGGATTCCAAAGTTCTTTTCATCTTAAAAAGTTACAATAAATGATTTCCATTTGCACCACAAAAACTTTTCACTTATTGAGTATTAGACTCTGCTAGGGAGTTGATAAGGGAACCCTGGTGGTATAGGGGTTATGTATTGAGTTGCTAACATAAGGTCAGTGGTGTGAACCCCTAGCCACTCCTCAGGATAAAAATGAGTCTTTCCACTTCTATAAACATATATGGTCTCAGAAACCTTCAGGGGCAGATCTACTCTGTCCTATAGGGTCGCTACGTCCAAATCAACTTGATAGTGATGGGTAAGGATTTGAACTTGGAAAGATTTTTTTTTAAATGCTTGGTTTGGAAACATGTTCATGTTTTATAGCTAGGCAGATGGAATTTGTCCTTCACTGGATTTTCTTCCATTTTTTTGTTTGTCTGTTTTTACAGCTGAGGGTCTTCAAGTTAGCCAAATCCTGGCCAACGTTAAACACGCTGATTAAGATCATTGGGCACTCCTTTGGAGCCCTTGGGAACCTGACGGTAGTCCTGGCCATTGTTGTCTTTATTTTCTCAGTAGTTGGCATGCAGCTTTTCGGTACCAAGTTCAATGCCAATATTTCTAACTGTAGCCTGACAAGCTTATGTCCCCGACGCTGGCACATGGAAGATTTCTACCACTCCTTCCTGGTGGTGTTCCGAATTCTCTGTGGGGAATGGATCGACAACATGTGGGAATGTTTGCAAGCAACTGAAAACTACTTGTGCATCGTTATCTTTCTATTGATCATGGTGATAGGAAAACTTGTGGTGAGTATCTTAGATTTAAAAAAATATATATGTATGTGTGTGTATATGCATATAGATAGATAGATAGATAGAGTAAATAAAAGCATTGCCTTCTTTCGTAGCACTTGAAGAATAAAAAATCATTAACTAAAAATGTAATGCCCAAATAATGATTTAAAATCTCCATTTGAATTTGGTTTGAGGAAGTAAAACAAACTTGAGACACATCCTCCTTAGGGCATCATGATCCCTGTGGCCAATGTCCCAATATGTGTCCCGCTCCAGATGGCTCTTATAGGATGATCATGTTCTCTTTGCCCGGGATGGGCTACGGCAGGGGCTTCTGGACCCTTGCCTTCATGTCATCATGGAGCCCCTGTTTGGGTTTCAAACTCCCCTCCCCCATATAGTTTCTCATTGTGTAAATTGGCTCGAGTATGGGTCTTTGTTGGAAGCACAGATACTTACACAGAGGGTAACAGGTCCATAGGAGCTCTGGGGTGTAGTGGAGTAGGCGATGAGTTGTGATCCAATAGGTCGGCAGTTTGAGACTACCAGCTGCTCTGTGGGAGATAGCCGGGCCTATCTAGTCCCATAAAGAGTTCCAGCCTTGGGAGGCCACAAGAGCAGTTCTACCCTGTCCTGTAGGATGCTACAAGTTAGCATCAACGCGACGGCAGTGAGTTGAGTTTAAACTGGTCTCTGGGTGGTGCAAAGCATTTACTCTTGACAAGTTCAAACCCACCCAGAATCTCCTCACCAGAAAGGCTGAGTGATCTGCTTTGGTGACTATCACAGCCAAGGAAGCAGTCCTGCTGTGTGACATTAGGGGGTGTTCATGAGCCAGAATCACTAGATGGCAGCAGGTTTTTGTTTGTTTTTAATTCGATAAGGACCAGTGACGATGAGGATGGAGCGGCACCAGACTGTGTTTTGTATTGTTGCGCACAGAGTTATTGTGAATCAAAATGAACGTAGAAGCACCTAACAGCAATAACAAGGAACCCTGGTGGTGCCGTGGTCACAAGTTGGACTGCTAACTGCAAGGTCAGCAGTTTGAAACCACCAGTCGCTCCATAGCAGAAAGTTGAGGTTTTCTACCCCCATACAGAGTTAAAGTCTCAGATAAGTAAAACTTAGGTACAGCAACGGGATCCATCATTCCCTGGGGAAGGTTGGGGGGCAATGAGTGAAAAGCAAGGAAGCTGAGGAAGAAGAAAATGTTCTAAAATTGGTTGCATTGATGATTGCTCACCGCTTCTTAATACGATTGTACTATTGAATCGTATGTGTGAATTATATGTCAATTAAGCTACTTAAAATATAAAAAGCAATAAACTCTTGCAAATCCACAGGGCTGAGCTGCCACACTGCCCATAGGGTTGCTATGAGCTGCAATCAACTTAACAACAGAGTTTGGCTCGAGTGGTTAGCGATGATAGCAAGTGAGGAGATAAAGACAGGAGACACACAAGACCTTCCAAATCAAGTTGGAGCTAGTCTGCAAATGTTATCAACGACACATGATGGGTTCCTTCTGACCCATGTCCATCTTGTTGACCTGGACTCACGCTGACTCGACTCCCGTAGGAATGAAAGCATGCTCCTTAGGACTTTCAATGCCCGATTTGCTGGAATTAGAGCACAAGGCCTTTTTTTCTGAGGCACCGCTGTGTAGTCTTGAGCCTCCAAGCTCTGCTTAGTCAAGCACATTCCCTGTCTGCACCACTCAAGGGCACCAGCGTTGGCCTAAAAACAAATAACCCCAGCCCCCTGCCTTCCAGTCAAGTCTGACTCAAAGCAATCCTCTAGAGGGCAGCGCTTTATAGAGCCGAAAGCCACATCTTTCTTCCGTGGAACGGCTAGTGGGTTCAAACCGCTGACCTTGTGGTGTGGTTAGCAGCCCAACTCATAACTCACTCTAACTGGAGCTCCTTCGCTTTATCCTAAAACACAAGCTCACTGCCATCAAATCAATTTTGACTCATAGCGACGCAGTCTGACAAGGTAGAACTGCCCCTGTCAGTTGCAGAGACTGGAACTCTTCGCAGGAGTAGAAACCACCTCTTTCTCCCACTGAGCAGCTGGTGGTTTCCGACTGCTGGCCTTGCCAGTTAGCAGCTCACCTCAGAACCCCCTCTCCCACCAGGGCTCATCCTGGTCCTTAAGTACCTAATAAATGGTGGCTATGGATGGAATTATGTCCTCGTCAAAAGTTGTGTGAGACTCTAAACCTCATCAATGTAACATGGTGTGGAAATAGGGTCTATGGACCAGGGAATCAAGCTAAGATGAGGTCAGACTAGATTAGGGTGAACCCTAAGCCCAATGACACTCCTCTCTGAAGGGTGTGTGTTTTTGACTCGGCGAGAGTCACAAACAAAGCTGTGTCAACACCAGGGTTGGCATCACCAGTTCAAGAATGCTTGGTCTCACCTCTCCCACTGTGGACTCCCTGTCGCACCAGATACAACAGAATCCTTAGTTGTATTTGCTAACACTTTTATTCATCGAATAATATGTAAGAAATATAGATACCTTAAATGTGGTATTTCTTAGATAATATGAATAGTAACAACAAAATTGTGTTATAAAATCTTTACATTGAATTACAACGGTATTAGTGATTGAGTGGAGGCTTGAAAAAAATTTTCTCCTTTCTCTCTAATTATTACCACGGTCACACAAAAATTTTTTGTGGTAAGAAAGTTCACAAGTACTACTTATCACAGGATTGTAGCTAAAACCAGAGCATTAGTCAAAATCAGTTACTATAAAAATGTCAACAACAGTGAGAGGTAAAGCTTGTGCTTGTAGCGAGCGCAGACACAACCAAGCGATTTGAAGCATCCTTGGAAAAAACAAAACCAAAACAACAACAACAACAACAAAACGCCACACTGCCATTGAGTCGAAGCAGACTTATAGCGACCTTATAGGAAGGAGAGGGTAGAACTGCCCCTATAGGTTTCTGAGACTGTCACTTTTTAAAAAATGATCCATTTAAAAACATTTTTGCTAGTCTAATTTTTAAAATGTTTTTAATCATCTTATTGGAGACTTGTACAACTCTTATCACAATCCATACATCAATTGAATCAGGCATGTTTGTACATTTGTTGCCTTCATTCTTTTCTAGACATTTACATTTAATTTCTATTGAGCCCTTGGTATCAACGAGAGTGTACCTCTTTAGGGGACGTAAACAGCCTTATAATTGAGTAATAATGATAGTTTGGGCCAGAAGACATTACAATAAATAACTCACTGCCATTGAGTCCATTGCGACTCAAAGCGACCCTATAGGACAAGGTGGAACCACCATTGTGGATTTTGGAGACAGGACTGCTTTGTGAGAGTAGAAAACGTCATCTTTCTCCCCAAGAGCAAGCAGCCAGTGGGTTCAAACGGCTGACCATGCAGTTAACAGCCCAGTGTGTCACGAGGTCTCATCTAAACACATTTAAAAAACAAAAAAGCCCAAACTCACTACCATCAAGTCAATTCTGACGTATGACGACCTTCAAGGACATGGTAAAACTGCCCCTTGTGCGTTTCTGAGACTGTAACTCTTCAGGGGAGTGAAAAGTCTCATCTTCTTCCTGTGGAGCAGGTAGTGGATTCAAACCGCTGCCCTTGCTGTTAGCAGCCCAATGCTTAACCACTATGCTTCTAGGGCTCCTCCAGGGCACACGAGATGGTGCAAACTGCACATTGATGTAGTGTTTTCTATTCTTGTAGGCACATCAATACATGTAAGCTGAACTTACGAAAAATGTTTTTGTTGTTATCACTACAGGGATATATTAAAATTAAAAATGTGGCCTGAAACACGGCACACAAAATGCTCTAGACAGCATTTTTGTGTCATCGCCGCTGACCATGCTACCTGGTGCCATTCACCACACCCCACCCCATGGGCACCTCCTCTGTGACACCCCTGAAACCGAGGACTGTTTTGAGAAGGTCGTGGTGATAAATTGGAACGCGTAGGCAAGAAGCCGAAAGCAGGAAGCTAGTGGGGTCCCCTGAATTGAAAGGCAGATGTGAGTCCATAGAGGAGTTGCACATTTAGCCCACGCTCCTCAGCTCCCCCACAATGCCTCTCAGGGGTCAGAGGAGCTGCATATAGAGATTCTCCACAAAGGCCGCCATCTCTCCCACGACGCACACAGAAGACTATGCAGTGTTTTGGGATATCAGATTCCCGGCCCTGTGGAAAATGCCGGCACAAATGCATGCTCATGTTCCTGGCTGGTCCCCGGGGAGTGTACCTATTTGATTGTGCCGTATGGTCACCCAGGTCTGATCTACACACACACCTCCTGCTTAGAGGTAGACAAACTGGATTGGACTGTTTGTATCTCTTTCCATTCACGTTTCCTTTGACCCTGTCTTGCCGGCTCTATTTCTTTTTCAGCCCTTGCTCCATTTATTTTATAGCTGCACGTGGATGGGAGACAAGGGACTGAGAGGTGTCCGTTGACTCTGTCTGGGGTCTGGGGGCAAAGTTGTTCTGGAAGTCAGCTGTGCCTTTTCGTTGGCTAAAGGTTCCAATCTCCCTGGCCTCCTTCCAGGTGCTTAACCTCTTCATTGCCTTGCTGCTCAACTCCTTCAGCAACGAGGAGCGAGACGGGAATGCAGAAGGAGGGGCTAAGAAGACCAAAGTGCAGCTGGCCCTGGACCGCTTCCACAGGGCTTTGTGCTTGGTGATGCGGACGCTGCGGCATTTCTGCTACAAGTGGTGCCGGAGGCAACGCTCAGCCAGACCAAAAGAGGTCATGGGGGATTCCGCATCTCAGAGCAAAGATATCATTCCCCTGGTCACCGATATCAGAAGGGGTCCCGGGACACTGGAGGCTTTGGGTGCCCCACCCTTGCCACCCAAGGCTGTGGGCGATGGGCAGGAGCGGACCTGGTTGGCCCCACTTGCTGAGGAAGAATGCGATACCGAGTCTCCTGATGGCAACAATCCACAGACTTCCCTACGACCCGAAGCTGGAAAACAGGTAGGAAGGTTCATACTGATACTTGGAAGTGGTCCAAACCTGGCATTACCTTGGCATGCTGGCTGGCTGTCCTGTTCTGGGCACTGGGCAGGGCTAAGATGGGTCTATTAGACGGGGTAGCTGCCCCACAGGCTTTTCAAGGACTGATCTTTTTCTTTTTTTCCCCTTTCAATAAATCATTTTATTGGGGGCGCTTACAGCTCTTAGCACAATCCATACATCCATGCATCAAGCACCTGGGTGCATAGGTTGCCGTCAGCCTTTTCAAAACATTTTCTTTCAACTTGAACCCTTGGTATCAGCTCCTCTTTTTTTCCTTCCTGCCCCACTCCCACCATCGTGACCCCTTGATAAATGATCAATGATTATTGTTTTCATATCTTACACTGTCAGCCGTCTCCCTTCACCCACATTTCTGTTGTCCGTCCTCCTCGGGGTGGAGGTAGGGGGGCATTATATGTCGATCCTTGCGACTGACCATTTTTCAGTTAGATCGCCAGGCCTTTCTTCTGCTGCATGGAGGGATGGGTTCAAATCACCCAATTTTTGAAGAAAGTCGCTGAGGGTAAAACTGTTTGAACCACTGAAGGGAAGGGGGAGGCATGTAAAGAGACAGTCATGGGAGCCCACTCAGGCCGGACAGGGGTATGGTGTGGAGAGGGGACTCTCGGGTGAGGGGCAGTGGGAGATGAGGCCTTCCAGGGAACGTGGGAGTGAGGGGCACCCTAAATAAATGACTGGGGATGTGATGCAGCAGGAGCAATTCCTATGTGCTCTGGCAGAGCGGAGAAGTGCGGTGATTAGAAACATTCAGTTACCTTGCAAAGGTTTTTCTTTGGTAATCATTTTGAAGTACAGGAACGTATAAGACCCCCCCTCCCAGCCTGCATCCAATCATGAGAGATGATGAGGCAAATATCCGAGACCCACATACGGGGCCTCAGGATGGCATCCCTTGTTACACGTGTGCCCCATACCGCTACATGCCATTTTGGCAGGAACACCACAGAAGAGATGGATAGGAGACACATGGCCGTGACTCGGTCTACTGCCTGTGATGTTAATGCTGGTCTGTCTCCTTGGCGAAGATGATGTCCGCCAGTTTTTCACTGTAAAGATACCACTTCCCTTGTAGTGATGAATAAGTATCTTATGGGGGAGATAATTATTTCTCATCTAACTTTCATCCACTAGTTTTCACACCCACTGATGTTATTGCTTCCCGTAAAGATATACACCCTCGGAAACCCTCTAAAGGAGTGGTTCTCAACCTTCCTAATGCTGCGACCCTTTAATACAGTTCCTCATGTGTGGTGACCCCCAACCATAAAATTATTTTCGTTGCTACTTCATCACTGTGAGTTTGTTACTGTTATGAATCGGGCAACCCCTGGGAAAGGGTTGTTTGACCACCCCCAAAAGGGGTCGTGACCCACAGGTTGAGAAGCACTGCTCTAAAGGGTGGGTATAAGTTGGAATGGACTCAGTGGCAGTGGGCTTGGTTAGACGAACTCAAACTCACAGTCACTGCCCTGGAGCCCGTTCCGACTCATAGCATCTCTGTAGGACAAGGTAGAACTGCCCCTGTGGGTTTCTGTCAGTCCGGTTGACTAGAGAAACAAATCTAGGGACACTCATATGTATAGGAAACAGTTTTTAAAAATTTTTTATTAAAAGATCATTCTATTAGGGGCTCATACAACTCATCACAATCTGCACATACATCATGTGTCCAGCACTTTAATACATATGTTGATTTCATCATTCTTACGACACCCACTTTCCACTTGAGCCCCTGGTGTCAGCTCATTTTTCCCCCTCCCTCCCCACTTCCCCTTCTCCCCAAACCCCCGATAATTTACAATTTATTATTATTTTATCATATCTTACCCCATCCCACATCTCCTTCGCCCACTTCTCCTCTGTCCATCCCCCAGGGAGGAGGCCACATGTAGACCCTGTCCTCTGTTCCCCCTTTCTCCCTCTCCTTCCCTCCACCCTCCGGCCATCGTCACTCTCTCCACTGGTCCTGGGGGGGTTCATCTGTCCTGGGTTCACTGTATTTCCAGTTCCTATCTGTGCCAGTGCACCTCCTCCAGTCCAGCCG